TGTCCTGCKCCCCAAAGCACTCTGCCTTTACCCCGAGAAAATTCTGCTGCTCTCCCCTTGCTACAATTAGGGGTGATTTCTTCTCATCCAAACTCTGGCAGTCAGSCAGATCAGAAAAATCTTTTCCTCTTCTCAGCAGTCATTTGAAGCATGGGGTTTTCCAGTAGCTGCTAGGGAAACTGCCAGGATTGAKGTTGATTTCAAAGTCTGTAGGAGCACAACCTCTTCTTTTCACACCCCCAGCGCTCTGACAGAGCAGGCAGGATTCCCTCCAAGCAAAGGCACAAGGCACCGTGCTGCCCTCTAAACACCAACCCAGCCACTTCTCCAGGGCCAGAAGTCTTGGCAGGTGACACTAATGGCCAGTGTTCCACAGGCCCTTATCAGCTGTGTAGCTCTGAGCAGCTCTGCCTGGCACAGCACAGCAAGGCAGCTGCTGCCACAGCCCCCACCCCATCCGCAGCCAGGTAAATATCMGAGCAGGAAACATAAAGCCACCTTCAGCTTCCTACAAAGCTCTCCCCAGCTGCCTTCCTCTGCCCAGACAGCCTCACAACACCCAGGCACAGCGCTGGGATTTGCAGTCACAGGCACAAGAGCTGGACCGTGCAKCAGAGGAACTGCAGCCACAGGTGTGCACAGTGGGGACCAGCCAAGGCTCCCCGGGCTGAGGAGGAAAGCTAGCCCAACCCTAAATCCTAACACATCCACCACACCYCATGTTTCCTTTGGCAGATGGAAGGCATTCAAGTTCCACTCTGGGAGCAGAGGGCTGCCTGGAAAAGCCCAGCTCTCCTCACACCTCAGTAAAATAGCCTGCAGCCGGCTCCCAGGGCAGTCACCTGGTGCCACTCWGCTGAGCCCTGGCACATGCCAGAGAGAGGACAGTCTCCCCCCATTCCATCAAGAGATGCCCATTTGCAGAGTGTCCCCTATCTGCAGGACTCTCCATCACCACCGGCTCCAGGATGCCTTTGCTCAGCTGCTTCCTACAAGGGACTGGCTAACACGGTAAGAACATCAGCCAATACCAAAGCTAAACATCTCTTTTCACACCACAGGATTCAGTTCCATGTTTGATTTCAGACAATCAAGTCTAGTTTTACTGCCCAATCAAGCTTTAAGTTTATAAAGCTGGTTCAGAGTGCCATGCTTAAAAAGATAACCAACGCACTCACACACAAAATTGTGATCCAATTCTGTATTWTATATAAATTCAGAGTTTTTAAAATACCACGAACAGATAAAATATCAGACTAAACAGGGATGAATTAATGTTACAATGGTAACAGCAAATCAGCAACAAGCATCATACTAGGATTTCATCTTTTTAATGTATTTGCATAASTGGTCAGTCTTGAAACATTTTTCTTTTCATTGGAAAACTGCTTGGTTTTATAAGAAAATGTCCAGTTTTACAGACTCAGAGAAACAACCCTCCTTAATGGGCTTGGAAGGTTCTTGACAAGACAAAACAGAGCAAACCTCTGGTCTTCCCATATTTTGGGTCAGATGTTCAAGATTACTACCACAAACCAAAAAAACCATYGCAATAACAATGTTTATCAGACAGTTCCATGTATTCAGCTGGAAACAGAAAGCCTCAATGTTTATCAAAATCAAATGCAACCAAACAGGCAGGAGCCCATGTAACCTGAGGAATGGAAGGGGGATGGGGTCTGTCAACTGCACTGCTTTTCAGACAGCTCCACTTCATCAGCATATCCTTTTATACAATGTGCTGTTTGCTTCCTTCATCAGTTCCACCAGCCTCAATGGGATTTAACTGGGAACTACCCTATGCGTAGGTCAGCTCTACAGAAACTACTATCCTTGTATGTATTGTGTCTACTCCCATCTCAGACAGAACTTTTCTCAAATTCTACCCCACTGACTTACTGCAGTGAATCATCCAAAGAATAGGGAAGACAAGTGCCTTTCCTACTCCTGCAGGGCAATCCAGCAGGCTTTGGCCCAGGACTCATTGCACTGATCAATACAAGTTCAGGGTTTTTTCTGAACAAAGTCTACAATAAAGCRCCCACCAGTTTTAAATAGAAATGTAAGCCAGAAACATTTTTGAAGCATCCATCCTAAAGAGGTGGGAAACCCCACAAGAAGGTCTGATGAGCAGCACTTATGAAATCCCTGAACTCAGCTCTCACCAGGAAGACTAGTACAATGCAACCAAGAAATCAGAAGCATTCTCACAATAAGATGCCTGTGATGTATTAGAGCCTGAAGCAGTTTTGAACACATACTTCACATGGAAAGGGAGATAAGACAGTGATAAAAAACAAGAGAGTTGTGGAAAYGCCACAGTCTTTCATCTGCTGCTCCCCTAAGGTACAACCAGCCACTGGTACCATGCAGCCACTGTGAGCCAGAAGCCCTCAGCCAGGCTGCTCTGCTGGCTGCCATGCTCATGGCAYCAGTGCTCCTCATCCTTGGATCCAGGATTACAACACCAAGCTTCAATAGCTTCCTCCAGAGAATAACTCAAATGGTGCTGCCTCCCACCAACATAACTACACTCAAGTACAACTGCTCCCTAGATCAGGGGAGTTTGAGAAGYCAAAAGCCACTAGCAAGGAGCTGAGGTACAATGGTGATGAGGGCCATAAATACCAAGATAAGCTCAAAAGCTTACACCCATAAGGATGATGGTGCCAGAAGCCAAACCGGAGCTCCTGGCAATCAACACAGGCTGAATTTCRCCACTTGGTTCAAAGAGAGCTGCAAGACACCCAGTTCAGCCCCATGACTGGATGGATGTCGCTCTCCTGGCATTCCACCATGTCAGCACATGAAGCAGCATGGTGACCCCATCAGTGCATTACTGAGACAGGTTTCATTAGCTACAAGGGAGGGCACTTACCCCACACACAGCACACYCGAATTGCAGAGCTCTCAGGGTCAGTGGCAGGACAATGCTGCTCCCCCATGCCCGGGCAGGCAGCTCAGCCCTGTGCACCCCTGCTAACAGTGCTCCTCAGGAGTACATCTGTGCCACCCACCCATCTCCTACCTGCTTGCAGCACAAAGCAAACACACAAATGCCACGAAGGGAAAGCTGCAATCTGCCATACTCCCCGTGGGATGTTCTTAYCACAGGTTACAGCCTTCCTACCCTCTCACTGCCATCAGGCAACCCCCCCCATCTCATATCTCAGTGGGACCAAGGCCCTCACAATCCCTGGCTGATGTCAGTCCTACGGCCCAGAGCTCACCCTATCCCATAAGGGTAGGAGTGCTCCATGCCGAAAACACAGGTACCAAATAAAATAAGCATGAATAACAAAGTTATAGCCCTGTAAAGTCATCACATAAGGAGGATCAGACTCTTTAAAACAGGTCAAAACAGGATCAGATCATTTTTAATATGGTAAAGTAAAGGAAGACTTGCCAAGAACTTCATTCTTGAGCCCAGGAGACAAATACAGGAGCATTCGGAGCAAACCACAGGAAAGATTAATGACTTGAAGTCTTGGGAGGGGAAATTAAAAGTGTCAGAGGGGCCACAAGAGAAAGCCTTGATAAGAGCTGCTTATTGTCAGCATTTACGTCACTACCACTAGAGAGGCTATTTTACTACATTTTAATCTCCAGGGTCACTATTTCTCATGAGGTAGTTATTTTTGTCACTTTGCTGATCTATGTTCCTTGGTATGTGCCTATAAGCATTGACAAAGGCAACCAAGAGGTAAGAGCAGYGAGGTAGGGCTTTAGACACCCTTCTGCCTGAGAGTCTTTTGCTGGAAGGAAACAGCAATAATTACCATAACAATGAAGTAAATATCACTTCCCTTACAGTAAAGCTGCTTTCATGYCCCAAAAATGCTTTAGAAAAATGAGGCATTATTACTGTAATTGAAAGAGATTACACAGAAAACTAGTAACTCTCCCCCCCCTGTGGGTTTAACAGCACTTGTGAGTGCTGCCCTTAGTGCAGCCAGCAGCTTCCCCCATGGCACCTGGGCTCCTTCAGGCAGTGGGACCCCATGGCAGGAGATTCTGGGGCAGGAGGCATTTACAAAAATCCTCAAGWCTGACCATCCTGGTCTTCTTTTAGAGCAGTTTGGGTAAGTTCAAGTTCTTGTATATTCCACTTCTCGCAGCCCTTCCTCACCTGGGGCACGCGGGCACTTCCAAATTGTGCAATGGTGGCAGACACCAGAGCCCAGGGCTGCCAGCAGCTCGCTGGATGCCTCTGTTTTGCAGMGGGACTGCTGGAAATAGGAGCAATCCCTTAACTCCTTTTCCCCAGRAGAGGCCTGCAGCCAGCCCCGCCAGGACTCTGCGCAGCGCACCCCACACAAAGCAGGGCAGGGACAGCAGTCCGGGCTCAGGGCCCCACACGGCCTACAGGGAGCGGCCGGGCCGAGCACCTGCGGGTGCAGGTGGGGACATGGACAGCACAGCCAGGCAGGCAGCACCAGGGACTTACAGGCAAAGGCTGGAGCACAGGAGGGAAAATCCATGTACAACGAGAAAAYTGTTTTGATGCAAAACTTTGCCATTTCCTAACTAATTTGTTTTTAACACGGTGCRGGAAGGGGAGGAACGCAAGGACTTCGAACAGAGACGGGCAGAGGCACTAAATACACCTTAACAAGGCTTCTGTAAACAAAGGCTCTTAACTATACATGGCAAGCAAAGGCCGGCGAGCAATCAACCCATGTCGTGCGGCGGGTTCCCACACCGCGGGCTGCCAAACCCAAASCAGCGGCTGAGGGGATTCCTGCTGCCTCAGGGTCCCTAGAGACAGGCTGGGAAGGGAGGCTCGGTGGGAAGCAAAGACCCTGGGCTGCTACAGGTGAAGGGGCGGCGTGGGCCACCACCGATTTCTTCGTAAACATAAAAAACCCAAACAAACTAAAAAACAAGGAGGGGAGAAATAAACACCCACTCACCCCCCGCCCCGGCTTTGCCGCTGTGCCACCTGCCAGCCCGAGCCGACCCCGCCGCCCCCGGCACCCCGGCGCCGCCGCGCACCCTACCCGGGAGATGGCGAGGGGCTGCTCGAAGTCGCGGCCGCCCACCAGGCGGAAACCCCAGGGCCCGGGGCCCGAGAGCACGATGCGATGCGTCCCCATGTGCGCTCTACACCTCACAGACAGCCCCGGCAGCCCCGCCGCCCTCACCGGTCCGGCCCGGCCCGCCCCCGGCCCGCCCCGCCCGCCGGCCCCTCCCCGGCTCCCGGCCCGCCCCGGGGGCAGCCACGGCCGCTCCCCGCCGCCTTCCCGGCTAGGAAGCCGCTCCGCCGGGCTACGGGGTCAGGCTCTCCCGAGGGAGGGCGGTTGCGAACCCGGGAATCCCGGCACCCCCTCACCCGCTCTCTCCTGGCAGGCAGGACAAGCCTCCGGCAGGCAGCCGCACGCAGGAAGGCTCCGGGGCAGCATCTCCCAGGCAAATGCTCTCCRGCCTGGAGCAATATTAACTCTGAAACATAATGAGGATGATGGAAACAAGCGGCCCTGCCTGCAGTTTCCCCGCCAGTAACCGCTGAGCGAGGGAGGAGCTTGGGAAGGGTATTACCTTTCTGCTCATTTATCCCAGGTGCACTGATTAGGCGTTTTGTTTATCTCTAGCCCCTTAAGCACGGTACCACCAACGAAAGAAATTCTTCTACAGAGGCTTTTCAGCCAGCCTTCTTAGCTGCGATTCAGGAAAATTAGTTGTTCCAGTTACACGTTAAGCCCTCAGTAACCTGACGGCGGACAAGTAGGAGAAGTTGGTCACAGCAAAGGCACAGGCATTTACAACTTGAGTGCAAGCATTGCTGCTTATTGAGCCAAGAGATGCAGCTCACTCACAAGCAGAACATCAGCAAGCTGCAGCTGGGATTCAGCCACAGCTGGGGAGCGTGGAGCAGGCAGCAAGTAGAGATGACACAAGTCACCCAGGTGCTGGTTCTACAAAACAGCCACAAATGATCCCATTGAAAGGCACACCTTTGCTTCTGCAATCCCCTTTCACAGCTGTGCCCTTTTTCCTGAATTAGCTTGTCTTTCACARGTTATTTCTTTCCAGGGTCCATGCATCCAAACTATTAATCTCATCTCTAGCAGAGAGAAGTAGTTCTTCCACCTCATCATTACACATCTCGTGGCAGTGAAGAAAGTGAACCGAGAGCTGCTTTGCCTCAGGGTGTGCAGGATTGCCAGAGGGCTGTTAGRCACCTCTGGGTCATCCTCCCCTCTTAGCTTCTGCAGTAAATCCAATGTTCAGCAGATACAGATGAGTTTCTCCCCTCCCTGTCCAGGATGCTGTAAAGCAAAGGCAAACATTGCTAGTGATTGCAGCAAAGTCATGGTCAGGCTGCCCTTCGACTTTTATATAAAGTGACCAGTGAAACAAAAAAGGGCTTGTGTCTGTGTGCTTTCTAAAATCATGTAAAATAGGTTGAGGCTTTTGCTGTCCTGGTAGTTTGGTTTTAGGATTGGCTTGTTTATAGTTTGACTTCCTAAAATCATTGTGAATGCAGTCATGATGTTTCTCTGTCTGCCTGGTCATCCRGTCACATCATTACAGAGTTTGAATCTGTTGCCCAATTTTGGCTTAGTCTGAGACTGAGGTCTCTAAGATGTTAAAACTCCTTGTGAAATACYAGTCTTCAGGGTGAGCACAGTCCTGCACAGGCAGCATGCAGTAGCCAAACGTGTGGAGGTGCAGGATGCATTTTTTGGGTACTCATGTGTGCCTGGGCTCCAGTCCRCCCACCCAGCCAGCTCAGTTGTTGCCCTTCTCTCACTCTGCTCCTTCAGAYACTATTCCCTTACACAAAGCACACCCAAAAAGTCCTGGCTAGGTATATTGCTGCAGGGCTGGGAAACATGACATGATCAACCACAGACTTTGCACAAACCCCATGAGTTAATGCTCTGTCAGAGGGCAGCTGTGAAACAGCAGTGTCTTAAAGCTTTTTACCCGAGTCAGGGTGAAAAATGCACATRTAAGTCCAACATCAACTGACATGCCTTCCTACATAGGCTAGTATTTGGAGTTTCTCATCTGACTTTACGTGGACAGTCTTCTCATGAGGTCACACAGACCCTTTGTAAACCAGTGGACTGGGGTGTACTCCTGACCTCCCAGGTCTGTGTGCATGCCACAGCAACTGTACCCTGACACCATGTTACAGTCAGATCTGTGTGTGAACCAGGTTTTCCTCTGCTTTCACATCTTGGTTTCTTTAAGCAAATCAAAACCAGCCTACAGCTCAGGAAGGAAAACTGGTGAACTCAWTCCAAATCACAAGCAGGATCCTCAAGTGCAGGACAGTGGGAAAACCCATGGCAGACACCCAAAGGTCTTTATGGATACAGCCAAAGACAGCCACAGCAGGGCACTAGTACAAAAGTGCATTGYTCCAGGAACAACCAGAGTAGATTTTATTTAATAATTTTTACAAGGAACACAATAGTAATTCAATAATTCCATTTATTAATTGTCAAATAGTAATCCACTGCAATAAGAAACAAAAAATCAACACAAAAATAAGTTGCGGTTTGTGTGGATACGTGTGCTCTGTGTGTGTGTGTGTGTGTGTGTGTTTGTGTTTAACTTAAACTGGCAAGAGCAAGAACAGAAAACTACCCTTTAAATGAGTATGTTATATACAATCAATATCAACATGTTACTTTGCTGGATAGATTTATTTGGTGTTATCCTTAGCAACAGGCCTAAACATTGTTGCAAATTACTGGAGGGCAAACCCAAAGCAGAACAACAAACCCATAAATAAGATGTAGGATTCAAGATATCTCCTGCAGAAAATAAACAGTGGTGTTYTGTGTCATATCTGAAACCCTTTCATAATGAATATTTTGTGCTAAAACTCTTTATGTGAACATACATGGAATTCCATCACTTAAATAAAAGTGGAAAAAATCCCAACCTTTCACAACTGCCTTTTTTCCCTCCCTTCACTCAATGTGTTTAAATTATTTCTCTATACAAGGTAAGTACATTGTCTGTACAAAGTTAAATATACATATTTACAGTCAAACTTCTGAGACACAGAGTCTTCTCTTCCGCTGACCAAGACGGAAGACAAGCCTACTTGATTTCAAACCCAGGAGCATGGCTAGTTTATCAAAACATTGCAAGTCGTGCTAACAGTTAGTTGTAGTTTACTCTTAATAAATCTGTATAAAAGCATCAGCATAAAAATAGGCATTTTATATTATTAAATACGGCTTATGACAAAATAGCAATCTAACCCTTTGCTATTTGTACGGTAATTGTAGGAAGCAGAATCTGATAGAACCGGTTTTGTTTATGCTTTTTCTTAATAACAAAAAGTCTATCAAAAGAGTACTCATAGTGGATTTACAGGCAAACATACAGCCAAGCCATGGGGTTTTCTTTTCTCTCAAGGAAATACAAATCTCTGTAACTAGTAATTACTGCTGGGAACAGCTTTCCAAATTGAATAGACGTCTTTTGTATKACTAAGAGGCAGCCAAAATGGTTGTATTTATTTGAGACCTACCATCAATACTGTAACCAAAATGAAAAAAAAAGGCACCCTCAGTGATACATTGCTCAGATTTATCAGAGCCTCTAAGATTTAATGCTGGGAAAGAGGTAAAGTCTTCATCCCAAAGCATATCATGCACAAGGTGTGTGGCCCTTTAGGGCCAGCAACAGGGCAGGAGGAGCAGAGAAAGTGAACAGCTGTAGGACTCATAAACAAGATTTGCCCTCATGGATGTTCTATTTATTGGTTCTATTCTTTGTGCAGATATATGTCAAAACCAGGCTGATTTCTCTTTAGAAAAACAGGACTCAGTTCGTTTTGATGCACACAATACACTCACACACACACACCCTGCACAAAAGAAAAACMCTGCAGAGATCAGTAATATGTTATTAAAGGGTTTGGGATTTTTGCGCATTTGCATTCTGCTTTGGCTGACCTTTCTGGATTAARCCACCAGTCCCAAACTTCTTTTCCACACAGAGCTCTGCAGTTTAATTGTATCAGCTGTCCTCTGCCTCTGCTGGGCCTTAAGATGCACGACATGAAGGAAGGGTTTTCTATGGAACTGGAAGGCAGAGTAAASTGAGTCTTCAGCAAATCAGAAACTGGGCAGAAAGCCTGGCCTSCTGAACCATGCCAACGAACATGAGCAGCTGTGGCTGAGTACTGCCCCAAAGCTCTATCCTGTCTCAAGACACAAACAAAACCTATACCATGTGCTTCCCTGAAGCCTTCTCAAAGGTAAGTACTCCGTACAAATTAAGATTATCATCAAAACTCTTGCTGGGGAAGGGAGAGGAATACACAAAGGCAGCACTGTAAACTAGAAACTGTCTCTTCTTCAGCAAACAAATCACACCCTGACTCCATGAAAGCAGGGCTACACATTCAACTCAATAGTGTACCACATAACCACATCCTCCTAACACTTCTCATCTCTTGTCTATTACATTCATAAATGGTCTGTTTCTTCACTGTTTAAAAACACCATCTGGAAAGGAATCCCATCATTGTCATGGTGAGATCACTGATATTTTACAGGTACAGAAGCTTCACGTAGTTGCCTGGGAAGGTGCCAAATTGCCTTGTTCTCCTCGATGTACCTGTTGCAAAACAGAACATAAGACAGAGTAAGATGGAGACGTGAGGAAGGCTCCAGGGTTTAAAAAGGGAGAGGTGGCAACCTCTTCTGCCTGTAGGCATTGATTCCTAATAGTAAACAGGAGTCCTAGTCAAAGAGCCTTTTGGTAYAGAGCAGATAACAACTATTTCTCCTACTAGTCATCTTTGGTCTTCCCCTTCAACAATTAATAAGGTGCTGGTGAAAGCTCYTGGGCCTATAGGCTAGAAGTCAAACTCCTCTCAGTGTAAATGAGCTAATCTCCCTTAAGAAGAGATAGCAAGCCCAGATTTGGAATTTTGAGATGGAGAACACTGCCCAGACTTGCAGTCTTTGAAGGCAAAGGATTTTGCTAAACATACACYTGAGGCTGGATTTTCAGGGACTGCAACCCCTATCCATGTGTTGCCTTTACCCCCCAGCTGCTAACTAGTCATGGCTCCCTCAGCTCTGGAAATRCTACAGAAATCCAGTTTGTCTTGGCTCCCTCTGTTGCTCTGTCACCTGTGTGAACAAGAAGGATCAGGACAAAGGGAGGAATGGAGGTATTAAGAAGATAAAAAAGGCAATACTAGAGACCTAGCAAGGAAAACAAGGCTCCACCACCCTGCAGCCTAATTTTAATGTTCTTGGTAGGAAAAGGAGAGAAATTGTGGAAAAATTTGAGTCTATTTTTTTCAACATTTTAACCCCACAAATGAAAGCAACTTCCAGACATATTACAAAACTGTTCATCCCAAAAAGCTCTGCTGACAGGAAAGTGTCACACTCACCCACAAACCAGCCATCATCACATTTCTCCATGACATCGACAATGTCACCATCCCTCAGTTCCAGCTCATCATCATTCTGAGGAGTGTAGCTATAGAGGGCTTGGTAGCTAACTCTAAAAACCAGAAAGATACTACATGTTAGCTATTGGATTTCCACAACATCCCTTCATGTGGAGATGTTTCCCTTCCCCTAATTCCTATTACGTATTGTTCCATGGAATCAAACCAGAGTCTTCCTAACATGTAGCACCTGGAGAGTGTACAATTACAGACATCCTATTGAGTGCAAGCCAAAACCTGGATACACTCATTCCTGGGCTAAAAGAGACAGCTGTTCCCTTGCCCAGGTGCACAGGCAGAGCCATAACTCACCAGATGGCAGAGCAAAGGACTTTAGAAAAGATACTGCCTACTCTAAGGTGCTGGATAAATCATGGCTGAGGAGGTATGGTACAAAGAAAACCCAAGGTTGAATCCTGCCCTGAGATGTCACTTGTACCACAGGCACTGTGTATTCATTAGAAAGGATCATTATGAAGTGGCAACAATCTTTGGGCAAATTTGGGGARGCTTGGGTCCCCTGCCAATGGAGCATAAATTATTTCTGTTCAGCATAAAGAGAAAGCAAAGGCTCCTTCCACAAGTCAGCTGCTGTAGGCATCAGTCCCAGCACACAGCGCAGGCTGTTACTCACAAAACCATCAGAGAAAGGCCCCACTAAGCTTTGTGGCAGCTCCACTGGAAAGCTTTGAAAATTTCAGCCTTGGTCTCTCAGCTACCAATTCACTGTGGAACTGGTCAGCAACACACCAAGTGGCATCAGTGTTGGGACTCTCACTGTACTGTGAGAAGCTAAGAACAGGGATGAACATGTCATATGAGTCAGGTATAGCCATGGAATATTAACTTGTTGCCAGCTTCAAGATAAAAAGACAGCTTCTATAATGGAGACCAAGTCCTGGATCATGAGGTCATTGGTGTTAAACAGCTTATACAGGTGCTATACAGACAGAAAGGTCACAGTTTGAAACTCATTATGATGAGATGTGGCTACTTTTATTCTTTAAAGCAAAGCTGACATTCTCAYGTAATTCTAATTTAACTTCTGAGACACTAAGAGCTCTTATACCTGCCCCCATCTTCACCACCAGTGAGAAATAAGGCCCCTGGAAGAGATGGGAACCAAAAGGACTTACATGTCTCGTGGTGTTTGACTTCGCTCAGGGCTGGCTCCTTGCTGCTGTGCTTGAGGTTGCTGAGAAATGATGAGAGATGATTTATGGTCATTAGAGGTCACCTTGTGGCGAGAGTCAAGAGGCTGAGAAATAGTACTGCAGTAATGAACAGACTTTTCTGCAATGTTTATGATCTCATTGCAAACAGCGTCCTGTGTGGTAGGCAGCATTGACATCCAAGAACACCCAAAGGACAGTCAACAGGGGGAAGGGAGGGGAAAATATAGATAAGAAGAGATGGGACATTCCAGTTGCAGGATATAAGTCCAGTAAAAAAAAAAGCAACAAAAAAAGAGTTGTAGATCCAGGTAAAATATCCAGGTAGTGGAGTGCAGAAGGGATCCAGGTGTAAGCATGGAAAAACAGGCAAGATACAGAAGAATTTGGTATTTAGTTTGAAGATTTGTAACAAATACATATACACATATTTTTAAAAGCAGCAGCATAAGAGCTTGCAATTAGTTWTGCAGTGGCACCATTCCAAATGCTATGAAGTCAGTTCAAGAATGCAAGGTGAGGTTGGGCTGTTCCATTCATGCATTTGCCTTCATTTAACTTTATACCCCAGGTCCGGTAGCACAATTAGCCCAACTTCTCATTGGCTGTGACAGTTTTTCTAATTGTTAAATTCCCTTCTGTTGCAAACAAACAATATATGCAAAGAGATAAATGTGTACCTACTTTGCAACTAGAATTAGTGCTGGCATTTTATCTCTACTGAGGTTTTACTGTCTGGGTGAAAAGTGTCTAGGACTACACATCTGAGTTAAACAGGGGCCTTACCACATAGCTCTTTTCAGACTCTGTGAGATCTGGTCCAGCTCTCAATGAATGGTGGGAAGGCTGTGTGATCACCAAGCAAATGATAAGGAAGACATTTTAGCAGATGTTATATTGGTCAGAATTAAAAAAAAATGTAAATGGAGTGCAGACAACAAAAGAAAATGARTAACTCTTCCCCTCCCCACCCCAACACCATACTTTCTGGACAGCAAGATCCTTCATTTACACAAGAGACATGGAGGCTACAGTAACACAACAGCGCTGCAGCACACAGAATGCTCCAAGGGAAAGGTGACAGCAAAACAGAAGCTTAGGGCAGGGAATCAGAGTGGAAGGTTGTGGACACCACTCCAGCTGGAAATGGCACAATAGTATCATACTGCATTCTTGTAGGGGGAAAAGAACATGGACAGAAACACATACTTGAAAGCATCAAAACTRAAAGGCCAAAAGTATGCTGGAAGGCATCTGCTGCTGTTTTTAGAAAAGTCCTCAATGACTTTGACACAGAAGAGAACAGCAACTCACTTTCTTTTTAAAAAAAACCCAACAGCTCAGGTCCTCAGAAGGCACAATGCCATGTAGTCCCAGCAAAATCACTCTACCCTGTACCATGCAAGGATTTGAAATGTTCTATTAATTCCCACAACAAGGCACAGCTTCAGGTTAGAGGCCCTGATTGGAAAAGCCAGTTCCAAACACCACCACCAGTGAAGCTGCTGCACTCTGCCCTGCCTCAATCCCAAGCCACCATTCTTCACACGGACTGTGTGTCACAGGACACAGAAAGGGAAATCAGGGTGTTGGAGGTTGGAGGTTTTATGAGGAAGGGGAAGGTCACTGAAAAAAGTCACACAGGTATCCACAGCCTGGTTTTGCACACTTTTTGCATATTCAAACACCTAYKGAAAGCAAGGTGCATGCTGAGAGCMAATAGAATGTATGAGCTAGTGTACTGCCTGCAGGACTGCTTGGTAAAGTGGATTGGATGAGATATAGAGCATGGCCATGMTCTCTGATCATTCAACACAATTTTCAGACTAAATTTCAAAGGCCTTGATTTATCTTCCCCTTTATTTACCTCCGCAGTGCCTTCCAGTAACAAGATTGCTTTCTCATGGCACACAGAGCAGAAGCACAGAGTAAAGAGGTCTGTGACACCTTCAGAACAAACAAGCTCAAAGACTTTGGAGAAGTGCAAAGTGATGAGCTCATTCCTCTCTAATTCCTGTTCTCAAAGCTCCTCTGAACCATATCTTGGACCTCTGGACCTGTGCCCATCACCGAATTAAAGCAAACCATCTCTTTTCTCAAGAACTGTGACCCATTCTAGGCCCATACAACATCTCCTTTGTAGTCAGCTCTACCATCTGGTGCTGGAATCCGGGATCACTGCCCTACAAAACAATGCTTGGTTGCCATGTATATTTCTATAGAAAGAAAAYTAAATGTAAGTTYGATGTACTAATTGSARTGGAATTTGCATTCAAAGCATTTAYTGTGGAGCCTGAAATCATCACAGGATTCCTGGAAATCCCTCCTGCCTCTCTATTATCAGCCCTGAAAATATTACAAATTTAAAGTTAATASTGTGCAAACCAACTGGATATAGTGCATCAAATCTGATGAGACCAGAGCTARCTCAGGTGTTTAAGTAGCTGGAAAAACCAATTTCCAGGCTGAGGCAGCTGTGAGAACAYTTTTTTTTTTAATTCAAGGAAGTGCTACTCTGTTCCATAGCAATAAATTGACTGCTAAAATTGCTCCATGAGCTCCTAAGCCCACATGCTCCATTTCCCATTGATTGCTTGTGACCTCTCTGACCAGATTTTCCTCCTAAAAGCATTAATAACTATGAATTAAATTCGTTATTTGGAAGTGAAAAAATTGACACTGCCTCTGAATGTTCCACATTCAGGCTTGTATGTGTGTTACCAGGAGGTGCAGCCTACCAACATCAGAAACTTGGTCACATTCCCTTTCCTGGCAGGATCCTCCTAGGGACTTGCATGAGGCAGCCAGGCAGGGGTAAAGGCCAAGCAGTCTCCCTCACCCTCCTAGCAGCTTCCTGACAAGACACAAGACTAAATGGATCCCCTCTGGCCTCTACTCTAGAGATCCTGGCAGCTCCTACYAAAGCACTGACTCCCAGGGCTACAGCAGAGCCCTGCATGGTGGTGGTGAAACACCCCACAGTCAGAAACTATGCAGCATCAGCTGAACAGGATGAAAATCTGACCAGATCTAATCCCATAATTTTAGGCTGTAAATGTATCACCACACTAATTAAAACAAGTGACCCTGATAACATGATCTAGGTGGCTTTTTTTTTTTTTTTTTTTTTTAATCGATCAACCAAACCCTACATTATTTTTCAGGGAAGGAAGAGATTAAAGGGAAAAACAAAAGTGTTATAGGTCCAAATGCTCTTCAAACATGGGTTTAGACAGCCCATGTACCACCTACAGTGGTGTCTCCCTCGTGCTAGAGGTGGCTGAGCAATCAGCAAGTGTTTGGCACAGCTCCAACRTATAAAAGACAGAGGTTCCTCCAAAACATTGAGCCAGCCCTATTACTGCTGTAGGTAAGCTTAAGGYCCTAAAAGTGACCAAGTATTCACAACTGGCGAGGACCTCCCAACTTCTACCTGCTCAGCCACACTACATGGCTTTGTTAAGACTAAGTGAATAAACTTAAACAACTGCTTAAGTCTCTGTATCTCCATGTTTACAGAGTGTGTATGCAAATATGCAGCACAGTCAGTCCTGAAGCACAGCTGGCCAGAGTTTACACCTCATATGGAGTTTGGGGATGGATCTAAAGAGCACCACAAGCTTGTAAAATTACCAGGAAAAGGTTCTACATTAACAGCCTAGAAAAGCCCTAAGGCAGGTTTAAAYGTTTGGAAGAAAGATGCTGGGACTGCTCAACAGTGCTCTCCCTGCTCCTAGTGAAGTTCAGTGTTATCAGTGTGTCATCTATCACAGCTCTTGTGTCTTCTTCCATCCATTTCAGGTGGGAGTTAAAGAACYACATGAGTAAAGACAGAGCTAAATGGAACAGACTAACAGACACACAAGACAGACAGACAAATTGGTTTTCCTTCAGAGAAGGGCACACATAAGCACATGTGAATGAAGAACTAAGAGCGGGAGGCCTCCCCAGCCCAGGCAAAAGAAGAAACAAAAAGCCCTGCACACCCCAAGCCCAGCTCTGGTGAAAACAAATAGAATGGTGGCTGAAGAGCTCTCACAAAGAACACTGAAAAGGCTGCAGAGTGGAGCAGCCTGACCTGAAGACTGTCATAGTAGAAAGATTCCCCAGAACCCGGATCAGAAGTTGAAAGCAGTGTCTACAGAAAAAAATGCATTTCCCATGGGAAGCAGGTACCAGTGCCTGCTGCAGGCTGGGCAGCTCTGCCTTGGACAGCAAGCACTTGGCAGAAACACTGCTGTGCTGAATCTGTGGAGCAACAGAAAACCATGGGAAGGGGTAAAAGTTTACCTTGAACATRATGCAAAGCAATGAACATACGAAGGGTTGTCGGTCTGTGCTGGGGAACATCCACTCTCCWCTCTACCAGCCAAAAGCAGGTGAAACTATCACTCTGCCAGAGCGGTTTTGCACAAGTGCAAAGGAGCAGATGGGTCCCCACCCACACCCCTCATGCTGCCAGGTGATACAGGGACCCTTGTCCAGCCAACCCTGCCTTCCCCATCCCACAGCTGCAGTCCAGTCCCAGGGCTGAAGATTCTGCACTGCTCACACACTTGCTGGCACCACTGCTGACTGTCATACTGTGCTAATTAGGACCTCAGAGTACAACAGAAATRAAACTGAAAAATTCCTGTAGGTTCCTTGAAATAAATTAATTTGATAGATTACGTTACTCCTTAATAATATGTTTTACTAGAATATTTTAATAAATTATCTGTAAGTTATACTTGAAATAACTTCACATGCTGTGGGGTCATTCTTTTTTCTTTTTAGTTTGGACTGTGAAAGCAAACAAAAGGCAACTTCAGAAGAGTTTTATGAGCCAATGCAATTTATATTTTTACTTAATGCAACAGGCAAGAATACAGCCCTCACACCAGTCTTATACAAAAGGGGTCTTAAACCTGCAAATAACACTGGGTCAGAATTTTGTAACTGGAGAGGCTCTCTATAATGAGAAAGAAAACTAAAATTCGAATTCATAAAGTACCTCAAAARAGATTCGAAATCATAAAGTACTAGGGATGGACACTAATGGAAGAAAACCCCAAATGTAACATCTAATTTCCATGTCTGCTAAGTGCTTTTCTCATTTGATTAAAATCAGTTGAGAGGTACAGATTTTTGAAAAGCCTCCAGGGTATTGCCTGAAGTTCTGCTGAAACCATCAGCCTCTGTATGGGTCACACACATAATGACACCATTTGCACATATAAATACCACTCCTGCTCCCTTAACAACTGTAGACCAAGAGTTGGAAAGGAGGTCAAGACTACTGCTAACGTCACAGTTTTAACTTGACACTGACAATGCTCTGATTGTCAAGGCATATAAAATATAAATATTGAGTTGACTTTGACTCCAAAGAAAGGCCACGGGGTCTTATTACAACCAGGTGCAACACCTAAAATAGAACTGTGTGCTAGTCATCACTGGGGAGAAACATCTTTGTCTAAAAATGGCTCTTTGCTCCTGCTCTTTTGGATCACCTATATCCACTTCAAGCACCAGCAGGGCCAAGCAGATCAGAGCTCAGGAGAAAGGCCAACGCAGGAACTTCTATGGATTTTAACACAAAGCAGAATATGTGTTCTTCTAGACTCAGATATTGAAAGTGAATGGGAAGCAGGAGGTGGTYGCTCAGTAAAGAGTTGTGCAAGTTTACAAGTAGAGGAAAATGAGTAAAAGTAACAGGAAAATGTCAGGGTTTAAACTGCCTCTCTCTCTTAAACTAATCAGGAAAATAAGTAACATTGGCAACTACTTCCACATTCATCCTGCATGAGCACCTTGCCTGGTTCACTGATCAAACCAAAGATGCTTCTTCAATACCCATCACTACAAACTCAGTCCATTTTTGCTAATTGTGAACTTTATGTTTCAGATATTGCCATCTTGTGGAAGCTGCCTTGAAGGACAGGAGAGGCACCAGCAGATGTGAGCACTGCTCATTCCCGCAGCCCGGGCACCAGGGCCACAAAGTGCCGAGGCTGAGCTATGCTGCATAGACCCTATCACATCTCTTTAAAAATGTTTGTAGCTCTCAGGAACAGAGCTCAGAACCTCTGAATCCCACCTAACAAGACCAGAGCATTCTGGCATTGTGGCACACCAAATTGTGTATGCCTTATCCCCAGCTCTGAGATGCTCAAACTCTGAATCCTAATCTCAGGTGGTCAAACAATACCTGAACCAAAGTACCTTGTGCTACACCATTCCTGCTAAGGCCACCAACTGCCCGATAATGCAATCAAGCTGTAGGAGCTCAAGGTCTGAACTAAGTCAGCTTTGTTATCTTTTGGAGGAACTGAAAAACAGATCCTCAGCTGRTACAAGTGGGCAAAAACCTAGACTTGATCTATGTGGATTTGCAGCAGCTGAAGATTTTGCCCGTACCTGCCCTTCTGCACATCCTTGAAGTAATTTTTTTTTAATAAAACTTCTAAATTAGAGGAAAACTATCTCACCTGTGTAATCAATGAATGGCTCAATAAGCATATGACAAAACAATGGAATGGCATGGAAACAACTCTAAGCAATGGAAGAGTAATCAGCAAAGATGATTACCTGTGACTTATTGACTCTGCGTGTAAGTCTGGGAGGTGGCTGTGTTGTGACAGTAGAGGAAGAGAGGGTAGAGGAAGAGGGAGGAGCAGATGAAGAGAATACTTTTGAGTCTGCAGTCTTTTGAAGAAAAGAAAAATTGGTGAGCTTGGCACATGCTCTCTTATCACAATCACTGCTAGTGATAAGAGCATCTACTATCCAGCAAGTTTGAAACACACACAGCAACAGTAACTCCATGCAAGGGCAAGTGCAGTTTCCAGTTGGTTTGTCTGAGCTGACCACCTCACTCTCTTTTAAACATGCAGGGTAAGTGTAAAAAATGCTATAAAAATATATCTAGATAGTAAACAGTACAGTCTTTACACAGCTCTCAGTACACTTCAGGGTTATGATTCGAGCAGAAATCAAATTATTTGTCATAAGTTTTCCCAGTGTGAAACATGTCATCTTGGAAACCCTGGTTTCTCATTATTTAATGTTGGCCAGATGGGTTATGTCATGGAGGCTCTTGCAGTGCATCCAAGACAGCATTTATAATTCCATGATTACAAATTCTCCAAACTTCCAGTCATTGGGGTGCTGTAATAWAATTGGGCTGGCTGTACCCTACAATGGGCAACAGAGAGCTGCAAAGTAGGGCACATATCCTATACCGAGATTGAGGGCAGAAGATACATTGTAGAAGCTACTGGAGAGTTCCTCCTGTGCTTCCTCTAATTGTAACATACAGCTACATGAAACTAAAAACTCTTGGGCGAAAGCGTCACTAGGTCTAATTCTCATTTGTAGCTAGAGTCTTTCACATATTTTAGAAATGCAAAGGTAATAACTTCCTCTCAATGCATAGACAACAATCCCTTAGTCATGCACATCCCAGATTAAGGTTCACTAAACCATAGGCTCCAGGATAACAGGGGATACCTTTTGTGATTCTAGGAACCAGGCTGACGTTTAAAAGGCCTTTCAGCCCTTGGCTTTAGGAAACACAAACAAATTCTGTAACCCACTGCACACTGTAAAATCTCTGATGAGCAAAAAACTGCCTGTATTCTACACAGTGGAGCTTGTGTGATGCTTTCATCTGGTAATAGCCCTATCTGGGACAACCACCTCTTTAGATGTGATTGTGTCAGTCCTGTGTTATCTATTCTAAAATAATTTTCTCTACACTGCTCTTGAGCCCTCTTCTACAAGTTTTTGATCTGCTATCAAGTGAATGCCACTGGTGACCCCTGAAAGAGYGTCTTAGGATCATCAAAATGACATGTGGCAACCACTGGCTCTGCTTTGCCAGCAGAGCAGCACAAACCTCAACCCACCAGTTAAATAAAAATCAGCAATTCAGAGCAGCACACACACATGCAGGAGAAGTACCTTATTTTCCCCGCTTTGACACTTTCCCAGATCACCTTTCCTCATGTCTCTTTTGTCTGTTTTACCTCCCTGAACAATAGCCATTAGCTCCTGACACAACTGGTTGTCCTCAGAGGAACCCACAGGTCTCCTTTCTGGGCTCGCACGCATGTCTAGCTGGGATGGTTTCAGGCAGCGCTCAACAGAGATCTTGGGGACAGCGTGAGCACTCTGCTCGGGGTGGCTGCTGCCCTCTCCTGTCTTTTGCAGCCAGGCTTGGCTGGCAGTGGTGTCACGCTGCTCTGCGAGGATGCTTTCAGGGCTCTCCACTGCCCAGCGAGAGGAGTTAGAGTAGGTCACGCTGGGAGAAGGGGAGTCAACAAACTTTTCTTCGYTTTGTGGAGTGGCCTGGTAGAAACTGCGGGCAGAGGATTGAGGTCTGGATGAGGAAGAGGGCAATGGGGATTTAATGGACCGGGGAGTCGAGGAGCCAGAGAGATGAGAATGATGGAGGCTGCCTGTGGGGGAAGGGCTGGCTGCAGCAGAAGGCGAGAGATAGTCAGTGTGAGAGAGGGAGGCTTCAGGCGGAGGAGGCAATGGAGGAGTTATGGCAGGAGTGGGGCTGGGAGACACTCCCACGGTCAGAGCAATCCACTCAGATGTGACCGCCTGCACCTCTGGAGACAAAGCGCGGCGCGCAAAAGGCAAAGGCGGAGGAGTTGGAGTATGGAGCAGCTCAGAGCTGGGAGACTTGAAGGAGACAAAAGCAGGAGAGAAAAAGAAAGAAATGAACAAAAAAATAATAAGGAAATACAAAACCAAGCAAAAGTAAAAGGAGAGAGAGCAAGTGTGGAGAGAAGCAGACCTGTGACCACATGCATAAGTTTTCTAAGGATAGTGTGCCATGTTGGAGAACATGCTGTCCACAGCTACTCCAACCACAGAGTCCAGCTTGTATCTGTGCTGCTAATACCCATCTTCAGTCTTTGCTAGGATCCCAGATACAAACAGCTTATGGAAGACATCTGACTTTGTAMCATATGCCTGAAGTACCTCAGGGAGCAGTTGAAGCCACCATTGTGATGGCAGAATGCAGCATTTGACTGGTCTGGCAGCAATAGATGGGGYCCCAGCAACTCACACTGTGGATCTAGCCAGAATTCACTGCTGCAATGAACTTTGACTTTATCCAGCTCCAGCATGAACAATGCCTGCTCCTCAGGAAACATGCATTGCAGAAGCTGCGCAGGAGAAAGGGATCAAAAAAGCCAGCTSTGGCCATTTGCTCTTTAGGTGACTAAAATAGGTCCTGGCAGAACACACCACCAAGTCCTGCCCTTAGCTCTTACCACCAGCAGCATCAGTGAGAACAGCGACACAAGCACTGGTGAAACTGTTTCTCAGTCCTCTGCCAAGTCAGGCAAAAAAGTAGGGRGAGTACTCATTTAGTAGGGGAGGAATCAAAAGAATAGCAAAGGAAACAAAAAAAGGTGGCTATGATCCCTTCCATCAAAGGGAGAAGCTTGCAAGGAGCTTGTAGCGGGTAGGCCGCAGCTATGGAGAGGCTGCCAAGCTCACAGAAAAGCTCAGCTGAGGTCCACTTTGACTGGGAATCCCAAATCAGCAACAAGTTTTTCCTCTTTATACGATAGCTAAGACTAAAACCACTCCTTTTACAAAAGATCCAGACAGATAACAGGCATGAATCATGGCATTTTTCCCACATCCTTTCTGAACCATATATCCCTTCCTCCCAATCGCAATTCTCCAATTGTTTCTTGCAGTCTTGGCCTTGTTTTGGTCCCATGGGTGAGAGGGGGATGCACCARAACCTCATGGCCATGACTCAGACATGTATACTGACCTTCTTCTAGCATGAGTATTTGCAGGAAGGGAGCAAAATAAAGGGATTTAGAGACTCGCTACCTCCTTGATAAGTCTGCCATGGCAAACATTCTGGGATCCCCATACAATCACCTGCTGCCACTTTGATTTCTGCTTTGAACTGCAGTATGGTTTATAGTGAATCTAATATTCATGGACTAACCTGCTCTCAAAATATGAGCTCATTTAGCACCAGTTCAAATAACACAGGCTGTTCTCCTGACCCTGTCTCCAAAAACCTTGGTCATGAGCTAGAGCATACAGGGGCAGGTATAAATTCAAGCTGACTGGGATCAACATAATAACTATTACAGACTATAGAAGCCTGTGACACCCTYCTAATAGTCATAATATAAAATTCCCCTCACCACAGTGAAGGTGTGTGAAGTGTAAACACATACTCAGGAGAAACTAGATAACTAATTCAYTCAATCTCTGGCAGTGGAATTTAATCATATGGCTGTGAACTGCAGCCCTTTCAATCTGGCCTGGATTCCAGCTACACATCAGAGATAAAAAGCTGAGTCTCCAAATCCCCAAATGATCTGTTCATTAACCTTTCTGGTAAATGAAACATCACCTTTTCCTGCAGTTGCAGATTACAGGCAGGGAACACATGGCTTTTATGGCACAAAATTCTAGTCTTAAATACAGCTTTTTTCAGCTATTGGCTTCTTGCACAAGAATGCCAATATGCCTCTGTTCTGCAGGGTGCTGAACGTGGCTGCTAGTCCCAATACCTGTGGTGAAGCTGTCATGCTGCGGCTGGGGGAGAGRGACACTGGTGGGTCAGGGTAGTCAATGGCATTCTTGACCACYGGCCTCTTGAGCACCTCCACATAAGTGACGGGGAAGATGCCTTGGCGACTGGTGCCAGAGATTCTTCCTTCATACCAGTTCTCATCCACTCGGCGAATCAACGTGATCCTTTCCCCCTGTGGGAAGGAACAGCAATGTAGTTCTGATTTTAACATGTGTCATCATTCCAAAGCAGATTACATTTTTAATCTTGCTGCAGCTGACCTAAAATGATGAGTGGTTCTCAGCCTATTTCCAATTATGTGATCCTAACCCTAAATTCTGTGTGGGAATTATATTTTTCAGTTAAGAGAAGGAAAAAAAAAATGCAGATCTTTTGTTGCTGACTCAGTCTGTCTGCAGACTCAATTATGCTCACATTTTCAAGACCCTACTTGCTAAAGCCAGTCAAAAAATGGAAATCAGCAGTTTCAGGATGACCATGAGACTCTCAGTGGTACAAGGTGTACAGAAAGTATGCACAGGTCTGCAGTTTAATCTAAATCTCTCTATGCTCTCCCCTGTTTTGCTGACAAATAAACTGACTTCCAGATCCTTAATATACACCACGAGCCTCATCTTCATATATAATTAGAAGAGAAGACAAGGAAGATCTAATCTGAGCATCAAAACAGAAAGCTGGTCAAGATGGAGAAATGCTGCTACTTAATCTAAATATGGCTGACTTTGCACTGCATAACCATTACACAATCCATTCCCATCCCTTCACTCTGTAGTCAGGTCTAGCCAGTCACTTCAACACCACAGAACTTGGCTTGCTCAATGATTTGGCTCATAGCACAGAGAAGGTGAATCGAGTTTCCTTTTTTTCTACATCACCATTATTACATAACTGTGTGTGCCTCTACTGAATCTAATCATCCTAGAAAGCCCTGTCACCAAGTATCTAATTTGCCTTGCAGATAGGCTTCTAGCACTTGGGCTCAAAGTATCTTCTCAGTCAGACCTAAGGAAGCAATTTTTTTTTGGCACTTCTTGATTCAGCCTACCTGCAACAATAACTGCAATGCACTACATAATGACTGTGGATTAAAAACATGGGTGATGAGGAGGAATCCTACCTGAATATAGAGCTTATCTTATTGGAGCTTTCATCTGGAAATTGCAAGTTACTAGTGCTAAAAAACATCATCATGTCCAGATGTAATTCATCAGCACAACAGAAGTCCTACCTTTCTGAAGGACATTTCCACTTGGGTATCCCCATTGAAGTTGAACTTAGCAATAGCATCTCCATATTCCAATACTTGCAATGGTAATGGCTTTTTGGGCTGAGCCTTCTCAGCTGGTGGAAGGAGCTAGAATGAACACAAAGAATCAGCTAAGTCTCATCCACAAAGCCCATAAACTGGTCTCTGTCAGAAAGGGAGTGAAGAAAGAGTACACCTGCAAGGAAAGCAGCTACCTCTATGTATGATCGTGGGAAGATGCCAACTCTGCCATGGTGTTCACCTTCGAACCAGTTCTGGTCAATCTGCTTGTAAATGTAAACAATATCTCCTTTTTGCAGAGGAAGTTCCCTGTTAACAACACAAGCACTCCATCAGAACTTCACTGGAAGAGAAGAGATGTGTTCTTTTTCTGCCCAGCAGTCCCTCAGTAGCAAGGTCTGCATCAGCGTATTGATACACATCAGGCTCCACCCAAAGTGCAAGCTAAATATTGAGGATAACTCTGTTCATACTGTGATGTGCAAGACCTCTCTTGCTCTTTGGGCATCCTGTCAAAAAAGTTGGCTTGTGAGGGCCCTCATAACAACATACTCTCCAGAAAARTTGGGGTCAAGCTCAAACCAAATACGACACTGGCTACTTTCCATGTTGGATACAAAGAGCAGCCCTCAATTCCTGTTTTGAAACAGTCATGTCACAAGTGCCTTCCAAATAGACACATGATTTTAATTTGAGCTAGTTTGCCAATTAGATTAGCTCCTCACATGCTGATGCTGATCCTGCAGTGACTACACTGATGGTCAGTGGTTGTGCAATCATTGACTTCAGCCAGGCTAAAAATTGGAATTTCAATCGGCAGACTTCAGTGCTAAAATTATGCATGTCTGCAGCTTGAAGAACTGTGGCCAGCTTTTACTAGGCTCACAAACTTACTACTCGGGTTCCCGGAGGAAAATAAACAACACAGCCTTTTCTAAGACTATTTTTACAAGCTCTGCTTTACTTTTGTCTGGCACGCTTGCATGTTCTACTCAAAGGACACAATAGTTACACCTAATCCACCTCAGTTTTATTACAGATGCTATTTAAATTATTACAAATCATCACCTATAGAACATACAAAAATATTTCCAGGACATTAGTACTTGAGACAAAAACCAGCAGGTCCTTCATTGAATTCTGTTTTTTTTCTTCCCTCCCTAGAAATGTTAAAAGGAGAGCTTCTCCAGGCTCAGGCAGAGAGAGAGGCTTTCCAGGCCTCCTCTTCAGAGCAGTCTTTCCCAAAAAGAACAAGCAGTACCATGAGATTCACCCAAAGGGCTACAACAGGGCCTAGAGGTACAACAAGGACACCTGAAACATCTGCTGATGTACCCATGGAKGCCAGGAGGGCAGTGACCACTCCGCACACTTATATGTTCTGAATCAGGAAACTCCTGAGTCAGGGGCCCACACGTTTAAAGCTAGGCATATGTTTAAGTCCCTTCTACCCTTGGGCTATGCTTTGTACAGTGAAAAGGACGTTCCCCTCCTGTGGCTCCACCCACCCTCAGGGCAGAGCACTCACTTGTTGCAGTAAAGAACGCAGGTTTGTCCTAAAAATCATGTGGGATAGAGATGCACTGAGAAAGAAGATATTTTCCTAAAGGTCCTTTAGATGCTATGACCTGTAAGGTTCATATTACTTTTCCCTGCCTTACTATGAAGACACCCCAAAACATGAATCCAATTAYATGACACTTCAAAAATGCTGCATCCTAGGGGAATAAGCAGAGGCAGAACACTCCAGGTAGGAGTAACAAACTGTACTCACTTTAGTGTCTGTGCTTTAAAGTCAAACTTGGCTCTAGCAGGTCTCATCTGGAGATTAAAARAACCAAAAAACAACAATATATTAAAATAATAATTAGATTTTCAACCCTCTTCTGAGGAAAATCACCCAAACTCTTCTATGGCTAATATTAGCATGGGGAAGAAATTAAATGCAGGTACTCTGCTACAAGCTTGCGTGCAACTGGTATTACAGTCCAAGTATGCTGGATGGGCATCTCCCACCAGGACACAAAGTGCCAACTTCTGGTACAGCAGTAATTAGGAGCTCTACAGGAAATGGATTTAACAGCCAACTTTTAAATGTGATTAAACCTGGTGAATGAAAGCTGCTCCAGTAACTACAGTTACTGGGGCTCCAGGACCAAATTTCTCTTCATATTTGAATGCAAAAACAAAATTGACTATTTGGGAAAAACATTAGGATATTATTTGATATGGCTCTTATTGATTATTACCCAGCCCTGCTGAACACGGCAATGTGACCCAWGTACTCTGCATCAATTGGTAGGAAAGAGACAAAGGTGAAGAGGAAATACAAATAAATTATGCACATGTCTAAAAAAAGTCTTCAGTGGCTAAAGAGCCAAAATGGATGATGTACTGACAGCAGGCCTAGGCTATAAAGGTTTATTTGGCTGATTTTCTAATGGCCACAAAATACTCAGACAATTTTAAAGACATTTTGGTCAYAGAGCATAAAACAAGAAGCAGTCACATTCCTGAGGCTCCAGAGCATTTGGAAATAAAGGGCAGACAGGTGTGCTCCACCCACATGGTGAGCACCTCACCCACCACKGCAATGCAGCGCCTCATGTGAGGCAGGAAAGGCATCTGGTACGACACCTGGACTAGCATCCAGCCCTCTGGAAAAGTGCCTTGGGCTCATGGAAAAATATCTACCTCTTCCTTTGTCTCTCTCAGAAAGTCCAACCAGGCTGTACGCAGTGAAACATGCTGGGACTTTTTTTCTGATTGTTTCTAAAGGATATGAAGCATATTTCAAGAAAGAAACAATGTATTTCAAAAAATAACTATGTGACAACTGCATGGCCAGGATCAACAAGACATGAAGTTTCTAAGCATAAGGCACAGACAAGAAGACAATGTAGCAAAATGATGCAAAAGATGTAGAAGGCCTTTGATTCACTAAGTAGCTGATATTTAAAGGCATGCATCACAGGTGTGCACCAGCAATTCTCAGCAGGCATGCTTTAATATATGCAGCTTGGTATAGAGATATCAATTAATTTACCAGGCATAAAAGTCAAAGCAGATCTAAATGAAGCCAGAATGGAAGAGGGGAAGGTGGAAAAAAAACCAACAAACGACATTCTCTGAAGAGCTAATGTCGGCCTAAAGCACAACATTGTGAGAGGCAATTATTGCTTTGGGTCAAGCAGCAGACTGAGGTAACTAAAACAGACCTCTGACCCAGATTTCCTCTTTGCTGTATCGTCTATATTTAGGAGGTCCCCAAATCGCTCATTAGTGATAAACTGATGGTGCGTTGGAATAACCCCTGTGTGCCTTCTAGCGGCAATATCAGCTTCTTCTTGCTCACGTTTAAGCCGTCTCTGGTCCTCTAAAAGTTTCTGCCATAAAATTGCATAAAATGGGCAGTAAATCATCTAGTTAAAGGCATTCAAAAGCTGCCATAAATGTGACTAAAAATTCCTGAGGTCCCTGCAAATAACTGGAGCTTTACAGTTCAGTATCAAATATTGTTTCTACTAACTACACAATACCCTTTTATTTTATAAACACAGAAGGTACATCATCATTATGGCATAATTGAGACCAAGCTCATACAGAGGATCTGATCCAAAGCTGATGGAAGTCAATGAGGTCTTTTTTGTAAGTTTTGGGTGGGTCCAAGGAGCTTATAAGAAGACTGCTGATAATGCAGAGAGCTGATYCAAATCCTCTTCAACCAACAAGAGATTTCTCTCACTGACTTCCAAGAGACCTGAATCAGTCCCACTGGTAAATTCAGAGGCACCAAACTCTCCTAAGCCTTGCAAGGAGCTTGGGAGAGTGCCTAACCACATTCATGTTCTTCCATGCTTCTCTTGGGCTCACGTAACACACATCGTAAAATAAAGTAAATCTAAGAATTATTTTGGATTTCTAAAGTCTATGGCACATTAATAAACATGCACTCTTGTGTATCTGGGCAGAAGCATTCTTCCATCTTCTGCGCCTGACTCTAGGCTGAAGAGTTCAGCTGTGTGCTAACTCATTTGAAACCAAAAAGTCTTACTGAATTCAGATTTTTGATCGGAGTTTTCATGCTGAGTTTGGTTTGAGTTTTCATGCTGGATTTTGGGGGGATTACTAACTATTTCATGGGTGAAGACAGCAAAAAACATTTTTCACATAGGAATTAAGAGCAGGTTTTACCATATTTCAAAGCACACATAAACATTGTTTGAATTCAGAAAGTTAACACTAAAAGAAAAACTTCCCCCAGGCAGGGGAAATTAATTCCATCTTCCAGGAAAGCAATCACTTTATAACTTCTTTAACTCAGCTTGAATACACTCAGTGCTGWAAAGTCTATGTGGCTTTCCTATTATTTCAGTTTGTCCCAGTATTGCTCAGCCATTTCAAAAATGACTGCTACATTTAGACACCATCAAGAATTCTAGTTTGCACTGGGGGAAAGCTTCCCACTTTCTGGTAGCTCAAAACATCTTACACTTGCTGTTCAAACCYGAGGAGCCCCACAGGAAAAATACTGTTTTCAACCATTTGATTAATACTGACTCAAGTGGTTTGCATGAAGAACAATTACAGATTAACAATCTTTATYTGCAAGTACTGGGGTGTTGTACCACATCTTACATTTCCAACCTTGTCATATTATTTAAAGCCCYTATATGTAATTTTGTGCAATTGATAAGAACTATCAGGTTTATTTGAAACAAGCTGAACCCARCTATACACATTATACAGCAAAACAGTGGCAGAGTACAGAAATTAAAACATTAAAACTAGTTACTGTTTATTACTCTAACTTCCAGGACACATAGCCATGGATATACAAGTGGTCCTTATAAAAGGCTGAACGCTATAGTTCTTGTATGTGGAGCTGCTACTATTGTTACTAAGCCATAAAGGAGAGCATTACCTCTTTATCATCRTGTCGCCTGCGGATAATTTCTTCTGGAGTTTCCATGTAATCAACTGGTGCAAAATGCCTTGGTGATTCTGAATCTACTTCAAAACAACATAAGGAAGTTAAAATACAGATGGATTTWTCTAGCATAACCAGAAAGGAAAAAAATAGATAATTGTAAACAATTTGTTCCATTATGACAATAAAGATTCTCAATTGCCATTGACCAAATTGCCAATCAGATGTCAATAATTTATCCATTTTCATTTTTTTCCCTTTTGGGCTGTACATGCGAACAAAGATCCAAGAACAAGGAGAAAATAATGATACAGGAAAGTGTAAAGACATAGAAGGACTTTGTGAAGAAAAGATTCACTGCCATCAAAGTATGATTTGGCATTTTACTGTTGAGAAAAGTTTAATACATACACACACACACACACGCGCGCGCACACACACACACACAACTAGACCTTGAGAAACTACTCCTTAAAGCAAATCATCTGGGTTTGGTTTATAATTCCCATGTGTGAAAATGATACAGGACTAGAAATATCTCCTGTGGAGATTCTTGCATCCCCAGAGCTGCTTGAGATAAACTGAACCTGATGTGATTAGAAAGGCAGCAGAAATTGTTTCTCAGAAGTGCAGCTGTTAACAAGCCCTGAACAAAACTGCTCAGCAAGACACGCAAAGGACATTAGACACACTAGGGGAAAGAACCAGAGAGTCAAGGGATGCAAAGGTGCGACATAAAAATGCAAGGGTTGTGGAAGAAAAGAGAAGGAGAAAGGAAGCAAGAAGACAGATAAAGTGACACCAGTAAAGAACACAAAAACCACCTCCTAGGTACGTCCCAAGTTCACTTTGCGGGTTGTTGTTTGTGTCCAGGCTGTGATAGAGGGCATATGAAACAGGGTTCCCATTGTTTAAGGAGTCAGGAGTGTCAGCCCGGCCCATGAAGCTATCCTGGCTAGATCCCATGGTGGGGAAGTAGCCAAGCCTCTCCACAATGTCAAAGGAGGACAGGCGCCTGGGAGCAAGAGGCCCGCTTCTGGAGCAAGGTTGGTGCTGCGAGTGGTAACTCTTGTTTCCTACACTCCCCTGCAGCTGTATGGGGTCGTCTGGGTTCTCAGGGCTGGGCACTGCCAGGCTTGCCAGGCAGTCTGGGGGTGGAGTTCTGCAGGATTTGTGTTGCAAGGGCTTTTTCAGTCGGAATGGGAGCGGGCTCATTAGGTAGACATTTCTGGGGAGCATGTGCCTTTCCCCATAGATATCCCCTTTGGAATCGGAGTTCCTGGAGGTCTGCTGCTGCTCATGCCTTCGGATGGTAGTGAACCTGGTGTAGGAAGCTGGGCACGTGCCTTTGCATCTGTTGGTTTTATGTTTCTGAGGCCCATTCATGTTGCTGCTGCTGCTGCCACTGTCATTGGAGGCATTGGAGAGGAGATCTATCTCATCYGTGCAAGCTGAAAGTGTGTCCATAGGGATGATATCACTGACATCTGAAGCCGTGTCCTCCACAATGCTGCAGGAGCGGGAGGATTTATCTGCAAAGCTGGCAACGTCCTTCTCTTCTTGGTGTGCTTTTGACAAATCCAGAAGAATCTCCGCTGAGTATGCAGCACTCAGACAAACTTTAGACTGAAGAGAAGAGGTTGGTTTGGTCTGCCCAATGGAAAAGTCAAGTGAGGGCATTGATCGGGATCTCTGGATCAGCTGCTCAAAGGCACTGATACGGRAAGAAACAGTGTCTTTGGGGATCTGCTCTGAATCCTCTCGACTAGGGCTGTGCTCTGTCCTGTCCTTTGCTTCGTTCTCAAACTGAGACGCAATATCCTTCACGCTGCAGGAGGAGACTGTGTCCAAGTGGATCCTGGACCTGTTGATCTGGTGCATGTCTTTATAGAGTGCTGTAAACTCCATCCCACTCTTTCTGGAGGCAGGGAACAGGTAGCCTTTTCTAGAGTTGCTGCCATACTCCTGCAGACTCATGGTACTCCCAGATTTGATGGCATACTCTTGCTTCGACTTCATCAAGATGTTTTCTATGCTTTCCCCTATGTCTACCATGAAAGCCTTTTTATTATCAAACAAGCCAGTGGAGCTACGAAGGTTTTCACAGCTTTGAGCTTTCTCATGAGGCAGCAAGATACCCGTCTTGTCCTGCACAAGAACAGCTGGAGCTGCGAGTTTGGGTTTGAATTTAGAAGGGAGGATTTCAGTAATGCAGGCTTTGGCAGCTGATAAGGGCTTCTTATGTTTACATGCGTGACCTAACATACCGGTATGACTAGCGTTAAAGGTTCGGCTATTAACTGAAGAGGGTGCAGTCATATGAGCATTCCCACCTTTACGATCCACTGGTAAGCATGCAGAATAAAATAAATACAACCTGTTAGCTTAAGTGCTAGAAAGCTATTGAGAAAGGAGAAAGAACATGCTTGGATTTCATAAAATGCACTTTAAAGAAACAAAATTCCAAAACATAAAGAAAAGCAGGAAGAAACTGCAAAACAAGCCACGCTTAGAGGAGTAGGTGAAGTGCTGCTAACATTTCTAAAATGAGAGGCTTGGGCAGAAGCAAATCTAGAGCACTTTTAAGGTACCCTCCTAAAAAGTGCTAAGCATCATGAGCTTCTAAGGAAGCTGTGGCACCATGGAAAAGGGCAGCTGAATGCTGGGMAGGATCAGGGTGTCAGGAAGAATGCAGAGACACTAACACTGCAAAAATGGCTTACTACCAAGCCTGTAATCACAGCTACTATGGTCTCACCACAGTGCTTGCCAAACAGTTTATTCCTGGAAGGGAGAAAACAATCAGAGGCTGACTGTGCTAGCACAAACACACCACATGAGCTGACCTTGCCCAAGAGATGCTWGCTTAGAGATTCCCCCTACTAGGAATAAGCCGAGTGTCCTTTAGACAATGTGGTTGGCCACAGTCACTTTAAAATTCAAGGAGTCATATCAGGACACAATTTTTTTTAACTAGGATTCAGTCTGGTTTCAGCTTAGACTGCGTTTTTTAGGTCTGTTTCCAATTTGAGTTCAAATTCAAATGTCAAAATAACATTCCAGGTTCAGTTGCAGTTTGGGGAGCAATAACTGTTAGAACAGATTTTTTTGTTCAGATCCAGTTTGACTCCCTGCCCTAAAGGCCTGACAAAATGCTTGAAAAACAGCTGGAAGATGGAGAGAGAGACCTTTTTGGTGTGATGCACTATTTTTAGGGAGAGCAGTTCAGAAACCAAACACATTCCTTCTCCACTCCTCTCCCCATCTCAAGCCATTTTTAGGCTGAAGTTGGCTCAGGGATACATTCCCCAGTACAATTCCCTGATGGGAGTCATGCTCTTCCTTGTCTCTTTTAGAGAGTCTGCAGTGGGGGAGGGAAGAGGAGGAGATCGGTCTCTTCTGGCTCACATTCCCGGAGCCTGCAGGGCTGGTTCAGCCAGCAGTTGCTAGTTCAGTGTCCCATGCATTCTCTGCACACCCCCACAGGCAGGAGGCTGTGGAGCATGGGGCACCAGCTACACCAGGGTAGCCAGGCCAGCAGACTGGTGTGACTCGCTGAGATACTGCTGCAGGAAGAACAGAAAAGGCAGGGAAGGGCACTAGAATGGCAAGGCAGTGGGAGCAGTTGGATAACTAGGCCAGCCTAAGCAGCCTTGAGGAGGAACATGAGGGTGTGGGGTGTGGCTGAGGTGCTGGATGGAGGGAGCTGGTCTCTCTTGAGAAGAGGAACCTGGATCAGTTAAAGGCATAATGAAAAATATTGGCCAGTGGGGTCTGAGAGAAAAAAGGAGGGAACACTGGGGACGGCAAGGAGGAAGGACAGCATAAATCTCAAATGGCTTCAGTAGGACTCTAAACCTTGCAACAGTTKGCCCCGTATCACCTGGCTTTTGACACTGCAGAATGGAGAAGAGGTTAGGGCTGTAACCACCTACCTTTTGTGGATGCAGAACTYGAAGGTCGCTTGAGACCACTCAGCCCCTGGAATGGGATATCTCCACCTTCCAGCACACTCTTGTAAATCTGCCTTTCATTCTCCAAGGCAGCAGGATCCCCCAGAGCTTGCTCTGACTCCCTCTTCACTGCATGGTAATTGGGTGAATAGCTGGAGTTGGAATATACACAAAAAAGAGAGGGACACCAGGAAGTCACTCCTGTTTGCAGAGAGCTTCACATAAAGTAAGAGAAATCCACACTTGTGAACCCAGAATAGAGTGTGTATGAAGCACTGGTGCTCAATGAAGAGCTTGTGAAGACATTGCAATAATGTTCTGGGTTTGGCACAGATGAACACAATTCTCTTCAGCTTTGMCCAAGGCTTCAACTAYAGGGAATAAAAWATCCTGGACTCTAGGTCTACCATGYATTTATGTAAAGTGAATGTTGTTAAATTATACAGTTTTAATTTCTTAGGCTTTTAAAGACTGGAAATTTATTGCAAATCCCTTTTCTRGTCATGAACCTAAGCACAAGTATGCTCCCACATCTGATTTCTAGATTTCAGTGTTTTCTCTCTAAAAGAATAACTGACAATGCCATGGCATAAATGGCCTTTCCAGGTGCAAAAAACTTTCTAAGCATTCAGGCAGACTGTTTTCTTAAAAGCTAAGTTCATCTGATACCAGTTCTTGTGCTCAACGAGGCTCTTCAGAATAAGATGGAGTCTCACACAAAGCTAYTCTGGGGCCAAAGCATGACTGCTGGAAAGTTTGAAMAAAAAMCCCAAACCATACAGAATTTCCAATTAATAGAAATATCTGACACCCAAGAGTGATTCAAATTTAGGAGAATTTGGAAATGTTTGTGATTATATCTACTTGTTGTGGATAAATTTGTACATGTATCTCTTTATTTTGGATAGATGCTGTACTTCTGGGGGAAAGAAAAACTTTCAAACATATCAGAGGACTATGGAGGTGGAATTACACAGTGGCTGGATCACAAGGATGACTTAAATTTCTGGACAAGGAAAGCCAGGTCATATGCAGTCCTATAAATTACTTTCTGGAGGAAAAAGCCTATGAAAAGCACCACAAAATAGAAAGGGAATACTGTCACTTTTTCAACCTAGACAAAGCCCAAACAGAGCCATAGCTACAAAGCTATAGTTCATCAGGGTTATGCCAGTGCATTTCTTTGTCAGGTACCTGAGGAAACCCAGCCAGCTGCTTCAGGGAATAATGACTTCCCTGAGGTTAGGTGTTAGCCYAGCTGTCAAAAAACAAGGGTTAAAACAATCCTCCTTTAGGAATAAACCTGGAGGAAAGAGGAGGCGTTTGGCAGAGTCCCTTTACTAGCTGCTCCCTTATTCAGGCCAGCAARCAGTACTGTAATAGGGCCAAAGCAGTCTGCAAGATCAGGTGAATGAGGGGAGAGCAACACTGAAGAAAAAACAAAAAACAAAACCCAAAAAAACAACAATAAACTCCAGCTATCTTTTCTCCCAGCTCTCTAATGGGCAGGGAAGAATGTGCAGCTTCACTGGGCCTCACTCTTGTGTTCCATTCCCAGCATACCCAGATTGCTTCCTCTCCACTGGATCAGACACTGACATTCTTGAATGCTTTGTGAGGCACAGACAGTGCTGCCACAGGCAGAAACCTGACCAGTTGTTTGCAAACATAAGATATTTATGCTAATCTCTGAGATTTCCATTCATTTTATTGCTCTCTTCCTACTAAAACAAAACAGTTGCATCAGTTGTGTGTGTTTCTCAGCATAATGAACACAGACAGAGAGGAACTGAATTGAAAAAAGTACAGGAGACCTCTAAGGTCCCCAGAGGGGCAGTGAACACACACGGTATTGATGTGAATCTGCCTTTTTTAACCAAACCATCTTTGCAGAGGGGATCACTGTGCCTATAGACAAMACTGAATATTCAGTCCAATTACAAGGAGGAACAGGCTCACAGTAAGGGCTGGCTCTGCAGCTCAGATAACTCGGATAAATCACAGCACAGTTCAGCATATTGTTCTGGACCAACATTTAGATAGAATATAGTGTTCATTACATATTCCACTCAAAAAGCAGTGCCCCACAGATCTTCGAGAAATATATTGTTACTTCTACCACTGTTCCCTTCCTGGAGGCTACAAAATTACTGCCTTTCATCAACKGCATCCATCTGATCATGTGCACATTACACAGAATATGTAGCAGGAGGCAATCTATCACACATGTAACAAACAATTCTTTCTTTATTCCACACAATGATGTTATTTGTATGAAGATACAGTCAATTTGCAAAACTCAACAGATGAAGGTAAAGGTCCATTGTTTTTTTAAAAGCCACTGCCTAGCACAGTCAGTAAATCTTATTTAGACAATGGAATCATCATGTAATCACTTCAAAATTAATTCAAGATCMAAAAGCAGACATTGTACCTGGACTCACCTAAAGCATGCATCTAATTTCTATGGTACATGCATTTGTCTATATCCATCCCCCAAAAATAAAGCAAACACATTTCCAACCCCCAAAACCCTGTCCTACATGACCTCAGATTGTTAAAGAGACATCAACAAGCAACTGAAAAACTTACTAGGAAGAATGGTCTGTGGAAGTTTCCAGAGGAGTACCACCTGCTGTATTCTGCAAAAGTCCAAACAAAGGAGTCATTGATATGCGCTTACATGTGAGGAGAAAGAAAAAGGCTTGCTTGAGTAATTTTCCATCTATTAYTTGAATATTAGCCTATAGGAGACATTGAGGTTTAAGTCTAAATGCAATTTAAGCTGTCAATGTCTTTACAGAAAAGCAACAATTTTTGTGAGTTCCTTCAGGGCAGTGACAGGTTTTTTAGCACAGCCGATGCCTTTTCGCAGTGCCTATTCTTTTGTCTGCAAATGAGTCACTGTGAATAAAGCCAAAAGCAAGAAGAGATAACCAGCTGGGCCATGACCAGGAGACACATGCTCACAATTATTTCCCCAAGCTTCCCCCCAACCGGTCACTGCCCGCCTTTGCTTTAAAGGTGTATTACATTTCTGCAGCACAATACATTCCTCAGCGTTCAAAAAATATCAAAGCTCTCACGAGAAAAGCGACGTTTCAATTCAGTTTCCTTACTTAAGAGAAGCAATGCCAGCTGCACAGGTTCAATAGCAAAAGCCAGTTCTTAGCCGCTTGCTTTAAATCCATCTAAGGCTTCTTAGGCATGTTATTTAAAAATTGAAGGCAATTTTAGAAGAAATGCACCATTTGGTGTCCCCTCATCTATGTGAGGATTTCTATCTAGGAAGAAAAAGCAAATCTTGGGTCTGAAAAAGCAGCTTTTTTGAGTCCTGGTAAGATGCCGCAGCTTCAAAAAAAAAATCAGCAACAAAAAAAATAGAAAAAATGGCGTGTTACCAATTAATCTATCATTTCACGGTTCGAGTACTGCAGACCCTCGAAGCAGCAGCAGCAGCAGCTGACCTGCCCTAGAAGGCCATGGCAAGGTGCAGCGTAAGGAAAATTGCATGAAACCTCTTGGGAATATCCAAAATCTTGGGTAGGCGTGAGCTCCAAGCAGAGAGCGGGGCTTGTGTGAAGGGAGAGTAGATGGCAACACGCTTGAAAGGCACGAGATGATGACGTGACACGCCAACCAAGAATTTTAAGCTGATTGCTGCTGCTGCCTATTCATGTGAAAAATAGAGAGGGTTTTTTTGCAGACACTGAACTCTAAACCTGAAATGAAGACTGGGATGGGGGTGGGGGCAGCTGAAAGCAAACGTGGTGGTGGGGTGAGAGAGGAAATCACTGTATCTGAAATGGATTTCAAGCTGGATTTGCAGCATCACATTCTATTATTTCTGACAGCGACACAGCAAGCCATGCAGTCAGAACGGTCAGAACGATTATTTATCCCAACCTCATTTAATAATCATCCAGCAGTGAATARATTAGAGCAGATAGTTTGGAAACAGGGATTGGCAGCATGAAAAGAATAGGAAATACCTTCTGTGGCTTTTTATGTGGCGCTTTATAAAGCTTCTCCATTTTTTCTAAATCTGCCTCTAACTCAGTCTGGTAGAGGTAGAGGTCTTTTTCTAGATCACTCTGGTTAAAGAAGGAGAAGAAGAATGGGAAAACAATGCTTAGGGTTAGGGGAAACCAAAGGAATGTTAATTTTGAAAAAAAAAAAAAGAGAGCCTTTTTAATCGAAAAAAGAGGAAGGTGGTATGGACAATACAAAGAAAATCASTAGCAATTAATCATGTTTCAATCATTACAGAGGAAATCGTTTTAGGCAATTAACATTCAAATTAAGAGATGCATAGGCCTGCTAGAATCTATTTCTACAAACCATAAAGTTATAAAACCCACCTGTAAAGAAAAAAAAAGATACTGTAACAATATGCAATATGCTGTTAGTATAATTATCATTGCAAGTCAAGATAGCAAAAAAAAACCACTCTAAATTATGGCTGATTACGATTTAAGAATTGTTTATTAAATCAATTTACTAGCTACTTAATTGTTAGGCTAATGAGCTCAAGCCCAATCAAAAAAAATCACTCAYAAGCACACAAAACCCAAGCAATGCTACAAGAAAAAAAAAGAAACCCACATACACACATATATACGCGCTAGACACTGTAGTGCAACGTACATGAGACACAATTACCTTTCTATCCTCTCTAGTAAGGATAGAGCAATCTCCAGGAGTATAATCCCAAATCTTTTTTGGAGGCTGATGGAAAGCAGAGGAAGGAAATGAGGAAATGAAGATAAGGAAAGACATCACAGAGAATATGGAAATTGGATTAGAACAGAGGGAAAATACAACAGGGAATTTGCATCAACACTGGAAAGAAATTATAAAAAAACAACAAACCACAACAGAGAAAGAGAGAGAGAAAGAGGGACAAATCTGCTATAGCATAAATATCAAGAAATCATGGGGGGCAAAAGGGAACATGCATGCAGTGTGAAAGGGGCTGTTTTAAGTAATGCTTTGGGAATTTTTTTTTTTGCAAGGTACACTGAGGGATTTTGGACTTTCTAGAGGGAGCCCACAGCTGTTGGTTAAAACATTCTTAGCAAAAACCAAAACAAAATGGGAGGTAAAACCACAYAGTCATAAAAAGCATTTGTTTGCTCATTCTTCTTTTCAAAAGGAAAGGGAAAAACAAGGGCCTTTGATAAAGAAAAGGGAAAATCTTTCCCACTCCCATCAGACTATGAATACATACCATGTGAACAAATGGCTGATTTTCCAGTGGTGGCATTGTGGGGCAATGAGAATGCAGAGTTGTTATTTTTTTATTTCAGTGGTTTGGGGGTTTGTGAGGATTTTTGGTGGATAGAGTGGGACACAAGAAAGCTTGGGAAGTAGTTATTTAAAGTTCCTCCTACACTGAAAGTGCCGATTTCAAAATGAATTTTTCCTATTTAGATGTACATGTAAATATAAGGCAGGATTATTCAGAGTGAAAGACTGGACTGGACTCCCATGACTGGAGGGMGCAAAGCTACAAAAAGCAGATTCTTTGGGCTGTGGCAACAAAGCTCAGAGAGGGTTTTCCAAGCAACAAAAGTCTGAGATGGCATCCTGAATTAAAGTGCCTGACACCCAAGCATTATTTATGGAATTCCACATTCAGGAACTGGCACAGTTCTCAGGGAGCATGGTTGCATGGCTTTGGAACTGGAGCAAGTTCAAGGCAAGCCATAAGAAAGCAGCACTTAACAAAAGTGCCCTGAGCAAGGTGGGGAACTTGTCACCAGAACAGATGCTCTGCTGAACACGGGACAGATTGCCCTGAGACACCCTCTTCTGGGATAAGGCCAAGCTGCATGACTAAGAGCACAAATCCACACTCCTAAAGAACTGGTATAACCCCACATCTAGGAAAGATGAAGGGCATAAATACTCCCCTTTCTTTGATATATTTTCCATTAACTCACACTAACTCAAAGGACCACAGAGATGACAAACCTTCACTCCTTGCAAAAGCATATGGCTATTAATTACATGGCAGCAAGGATAGACAGGTTTCTTCTCACTATGGAAATCTTAAACAATGACAAGTTGTGAAGAATTAAATCTTTATACTGACAACACTTGAAAGCCTCAGTAAGGTGAGATTTATCTGACTTTTACTGYCAAAACATTAGGAGGTCTCAAACACTGTTGAAACTTTTTTTTTTAGCTTAAGATGGAAGGTCCATAGTTATAAAACGTGGTTTTCTATGAAAGAATGGACGATTCAACCACTGTACACCCTTCCTTTTCAGCCARAATTATACTATTTGTATGATGTGAKCAGACTGAGCAYACAACTCCAYGTAGCTACATTCTGTSCAGAGGAACTCTGTCATTTCTGTCAGAACAGAGACCAGATTTAAAGGAAACCTGCTCTCTCCTGTCCATGCGCGGTTGCCTTTGAAGACAATACTGGTCCTTAAAACGTATTTCTGTTTTGTTAKACACACAGGGAATCTCAGCAGCACTCAAAAATTGTGTGCATGGGCATTTGACAAATGACCTCAAGGAGAAAGCAGAAATGACAAACCATCACTGTGCTTTAATACATGTTTGAGATTGATATTGACCCTCAGGTACAGTAAGAGTGGCTCATTAAACAGTATTTAATAACTAATAGTGTTTGATCAGTAAGAACCAGGCCATAAAATGCTTTAAAGTCACTTTTTTTCCCAGTAACCATGACCATTGATGTGTTCCCTCCATGAAAATGTTCTTTGTCCGATTGAATAATTAAACTTTGGTTCATCTCTTTCCAGTGGGGAAATGAAGGCCTTTTTTTTTTCTCCACACATAGCAACACAGCTCCATTTGAAAAGAAAGCACACTGTTCTCAGACTCCTTTGCTTTCAGRGAGGGGCAAGAGCTCTTCAACACAGACTAATGCCCACCCTTTTTATGCAATGGGCAGATACATGCATAAGGAAATAAGCAGCAAACAGGGCCATGATCTGTTTATGGAGAGCTGGAAATTGCTGACCCACAGTTTACAAGCCAAGGACAGGAATAAATAATTCTCCTTGACTTAAAGCTATTTATCAGCCACCATAGATCTTGTTATGCAGAGGTAGAATAAGGGCTTTTGAATGACTTTTAAGAATGAGAACAGGGAGTTATTTCTAACATTAACAATTTAACATTTGAACTATGGTGTGTGAAAAAGTATTACCTTGCTGATACATAGTGCTGGAAGGTGGGGAATGTTTGTAAATGGCTTCAAAACACTAAAAGTAGCCCCAGAACAGCTGCTTTATGTTAGTACCAGGATGACATTATGTACAATCACATCTTTAAATGAGTAAGGCAGCTGTTTCAGATTTAGGGCCTAGGAAAGAGATGTGACAATCATAAAAAAAAAATTTAAAAAAAAAAAAAAAGGCAGGTTGACTTCATTGGTCATTGTAACTATCAAACTTACCGGTTTCCCAAACTCCAATTCCGAAAAGAATTTATACCAAGGTTCATTCTTTAAATCTATCTCTTCTGGGCTTATATCCCGAGTCTAAAGGAGTTGGTGATAGGGGAATGGAAGAAAGAGAAGGATAACATTATGCAAAGAATACACGGAAAGGGACTGTTAGAGATGCAGATCCCATGGCTTCCATTCTAAAATGTAGATATTCAGCCTTATAATTTGGAATTTCTATAGCAAGTCTCTCATAAAGGCCATGAACTGCTTTGWAAACATCAGCTTGGCCTAATAGCATGAATATGAATGAATTGCATTTTACAGGTCAGGAGACCCACACAGAGAAAGAGAGATTGTGCAGCTTGTCCAGAGTCACTGAGAGACTCAATGGAAGAGCTGGGAGTCAAGCAGTCCCTCAGWCCTACTATCGTCAAGTCCAAAGCTGCATGTACTTTACTTTTTTCATCTTCATTTGGTTAAAAAAAAAAGAGAGATTCAGTGAGACCCAAATCAAATACTGCATCTTTAACAGCACATGAACATGTGAGAAACCCTGTTCTATACACTGCAAACAGAGTGGAAGGTGATTTTCTAAACCATACGAGACACATGTCAGAGAGAGCACATCCTGAAAGATCTCTGAAGGGATGGACAGAGTGACAATATTACATGTTTCTTCACAAATACATGTTAGAGTATCAGACAAAACTACAATGAAGGAAAATCAGACAGACAGTACAGAAAACAGTACAGCTGAAAAGGAAATTCCCTTTCATTCATACCATCTGTTTTACCAGAACAAAAAAAAAAAAATCAATAGTTGTAGCTGTTTGAAAACTTTRCTGGTGAGGTAAGAGAATAAAAATCCATTGCAAAAGCTCCCAAAAAGATATCTAGCTAATTCTTGAATTTCAGTATGTCTGGTTTTAGACAGAGAGGATCTCAGTGCATAAAAAATATAAACACATTATGTCTGCTGTGCCATTGCAATCCCAGGTGCTCCATCAAATTAAGGAAGGAGCCAAACAGATGCACAGTATCTTCACAGAAATAATTTAGTGATGGGGTTACTGAGGCAGTTGACAACAGTGCTGGACTTGGATGTCCCAGACTCTGCCATAGCCAGTAGCATCATGAAAAAAAGCTCTAGCAAAAGAGCTCAGTAGTGATGCTGAATGAGAGGCAATACAAGGTAAATAGTCACGTCATGTTTAATGCCTGATGGCCTGGAGAATGATTTGCTATTTCTTAAAGGCACAAAAGAATCAATACCTCTATTTTTTATTTACTGCACTCCAACTAAAAGCACTCATATAACTGCCTTTACATTAAAACAGAGCCCACTGATGTCAACAAGGAGGCTCTTCATTGCTCTGAAATGGTTTTGGGCCAGGGTTCTGAAAGTCACAGGTGTGGGTGTGATGACCAGGAGATATTCAGAAATCTCCTGCACCTCCCTGAAAGATGTAGTCACTAACCACTATATTACAGTTGTATTTAATGAGACTGATGGACCCATGAAACTACTATTTCAAGACCYTCTTTCTTCTCAGATCTATGGCTTTAAATTAAAGCTCATAAAATAACACTGGAAGTAACACAGCTATCACTTTCATCTTGGTTTTGATAAGCTCTGTATGTACAACTATTTTTTCAATTATGCTGACRATGGTTCTGCTTGTGGCTTTTAGACTGATTCCACAGCTCAATTAAATATCTGATGAAGCCTGAACATGTAAACAGTGTTACTGGTGATGACAGACCTTTTGCCAACGCTTAAGTACACAGATGAAGCCGGCCTTTTGCCACAAGTTTTAATCTTGTCTGTTTACCGTGAGACAAAACTGATGCTTAAGTCAGCAGAAATCTGGCTCCAGGATGGACTGCAGGAATGGAGGTGTCATACCATGTTCAAACCACTCCTCACTGGCTCTTCCTTAACGGGCTGAGCCAACGCCCAGTAGTATCAAGAGGGAGTCATCCACCACCCATTGCAATAGGCACTAGGATCATGCTCCTATCAAGGGCAGCTTTGTTGAAGTCAATGAAGGGACACGGGTGTGAAAAGAAGTTGGTTGCAGGATCTTCAAAAAGTGAAGTACCTTGATTATGCTTGGAAGGAAAAAAGAAAACCCACCAAAATACTAAGGAGAAGCATCAGGTCCCATATCAGACTTGTTTCTTAAATTTCTATTGATTTAAATTGCCATTCACCCTTGTGTAAAATCCTTGGCAGGTTTTTCAGGAACATTTCTTTACCTACTCCATTCATGGATCAATGTCTGAGCTGTTAAGACACGAAGTCCAGTTTACATTTGGAAATACACATGCAATTATCACTTCTAAATGAATCCTTCTAATTAATGCCTTTATGGAACAATTATATCTTCATGCACTATCTTTAATACACTACTAATACCTTTCAGTATTTTCTAGCAATTGCACCATGGAAGGACACCCTAAGTGATCTGTGGTGATTTACACTGGCTGATGAGGTTAGCATCACCTCTCTGCCCTGTCCCTTGTCAAGTATTCTCAGCCAAGGCTGCAGAAAGAAACTTGTGTATGTCCCCAGCTATCACAATTCACGGCATTGCTTATTAATTTAGACTGAAATTGGTAACAGTTCACTTAATACTCCAGGTTATATTTCACCATAACTGGGGAGCCCAYATCCTGCGACCTCTGCCATTGGTGAGATCCAGCTGAGGAAGAAAGCAGCCCAGGGAAGATGGCTATGTCCTAGTGCATCTCAGAGGCATCCACTGAGGCACACTAAAGACACTCYGAAAACTAGTTCAGTGTTTAAAGCATCAGAGGAACATAAAACTGAACCTGTCTTCTCTGTTGCATAATGCCTGCAACCCTCCTGCATCAGCTAATTCTGTGTCCCAGAGAAAGTACAGCTGGCAAAGCAGCTGCTGAACAGGTCACAGTGTCAAACATGGATTAAAAACTAGGGTTAGTGATCCATACTTAAYACGGAAAACAACAGGTCCAAAAGGAAAGAAGACTCTCAATCCCCCTGGATCTTGCTTTAGAGAGAACAAAAATGTTAGGAGGTTATGCAGAACAGTTTTCAAAATACATCACACCAGCACTGCAATGTAAGCATAAGGAATCCCATCCAAATAGAATCACACAAGCATTTGGAGAGTATTTCACAACTGCAGGATAAAGTCACAAACTAGGATAAATCAAACATTACCATCTTTTCGTTGTTCAGAACGGAGGACTTTCCTGGCTGATAGTCATAAATGCTCCTGGGTTCTGCACGATATTTTCTGGTGTCTACTTTCTTGTCTGGAGGCTCCCAGTCAGTCCTAAGGAAAAAAAAATCAATTAACCCAAAAGACTGTGGTTTCTGTGGAGACAAACACTCCATTTTACATATGCTTTACCCCATTAACTATGGTTTAATTAGGGCACTTTTTTTAACCTAGGAGGGGAGTCTGTTACAAGAGGAACAGTTCAGATAGGACATGTATTTGTTTGTTGCAGGCAGAGTTTGATACAGCTCAGCTGCTGACATTGTTGGAGCAGAGGGGGGGTATTCCAAGTAGTTTCAATAAACTTCCAGACTTCTGTATTTCTCCTCATCCGAAATAGCTTAATTATGGGCTTCAGCTAAGCTCACAAATATGAACATGTCAGACTTCGAGCAGAACTCAGATTAAATTCCTTTTGCTAAACTTCTGCCTTTCAACCACATCACTGACTACCTGACTACCACTTCTCTGGATTCTGAGGGCACTCCCAGAAATCAGGCCTTTTACGATAGTAAACTAATTCTGATTTTGCTCTTGACATGTTCTCTTTGATGGGCAACGTGTACGTGGATCCATCTGACCCAGCATTCACCAAACAGAAGTGAGGCATCTATCCAAAACTGCTGTTCCAGGTTTCCTCTCCCTCACACTTCTGATCTGGTTAGGATAGAAACAAAGCACTGAACTGCCTAAACTCTCACCACTAGCTAAGGAGAGACAGACAATTTATTTTTTCTTTCTACAGTAAGGCAAGATGTCAGCCAAAATGATTGGCATACAAACAGTGTACAAATTTCAACAAGGTTGATCTTTGCTGTTGAGAATAACTTGATTGCTTAAAACTTCAGCCACGGAGAAAATTCTGGTGAGGCACTAGATAATAGGAAGTGTAATCCTTTCACTTACAAGAGTTTTCTCATAATGCAAATACACTATGCCTTCAATTCCTGCATAAGGAATACATGTTTTATCAATAACTTTTGTCTCCTGATCCAGTGACCTGAGATGTTCACTAAAGTAGCAATATTAAATTACAGCATTGCTCCTTTGAGGCAGCAAGTGAAAAACACTAAGAGCATGTAGAAGTTGATAAAGGAGGGAGGAGCAGCTCAGGAGCTGAGAAAATACAGTAGGACATAAAATATTCTTTAACTGGAGTTGTGGACTTGAGGCTTCCACTTTCATCCCCTTCCCACTGACAGCTTTCAGACATTCGTCCAGTACTGAGCCATATACACCTTAGTTCAGGTCACCTTTCTGGGCTGGATTTCAGTGATGAAGTACGGTTTGGCAGTGGCAAAGTGGCAGACCTCTTCACAACCTTCTCTGAATCAATATTGTCCATCTCACTCTTGGAGCGGGGAACAGAAAGCTGGGTTCTGCCTGTAGGATAAACCACATACAGGAATACTGGTGAACTGGAAAGAAGGCAAATAAATACATGCTTTACATGCCCTTTCTGTTTTGACAGGTCCAACAAGAAATGTGAATTACTTACTGTCCTCAGAATAGGAATAACGAGGAGAGTATGAATCAGAATCTTCATCTGAAAGACAAAAGCATATTGCAAGTGATTTGAAAATGGCCCAAGGAAGAAGCACCAGAGACCCTCTAATTTCTTCTACTAATGCATTGACCATAATTTGAGTGATATGACCAGTACTTACCACAGGGAGAGGATCCTAAAAAATAAAACCCCAATGAGGTTTAAATTGCATTTGAATGTAATTCCTGGATTAGATATAAATATTAATATATTACTTACACTAATGCCTTTCCCCAGCCTCTCAAAGTACTTTGGAAAATWATCCCTTTTTATCATAAAACTCCTGTAAAGCAAGGTTTAATAGATTCACTTTATCAAAAGCTGGAAAACAGAGGATCCAAAAGCCATATTGTGATTAAAATTACTCATTAGGTGCTAGACAATAATAGAGCTGAGGAGTCCTGCTGCCAATCACACGTGATTTTTATTATTAAGTGACAAGAGAGCATCCAAAGGAGGGCTACGAGGATTGTGGAGAGTCCAGAGGTGAAGCYGTGTGAGGAGCAGCTGAGGTCACTTGGTCTGTTCAGCCTGGATGAGAGGAGAGTGAGAGGAGACCTCATTGCAGTTACACTTTGCTTGGGAGGGGAAGGGGAGGGGCAGCACCAATATCTGCTCTGTGGGGACCAGAGACAGGACTGAGGCAATGGCTTGAGATTGTGTCAGGGCAGATTCAGGCTGGATATCAGAAAMAGCTTCTTCAGAAGGTGGTTGGGCACTGGAACAGCTCCCCTGGGAAGTGCTCACAGCGCCAGCCTGACAGAGCTCAGTTGTTTGGACAGTGCTCTCAGGCACATGGTGTGACTCTTGGGGATATCCTGTGCAAGGCCAGGACTTGGACTTTAATGATCTTTGTGGGTCCCCTCCAACTCAGAATATTCTGTGAYTCTGTGACTGCAAAGAGAACTGTGAGCCAAAGGATTACTAAAACCTCTGTGAATAAACCACTAAATGTGACAGAGAAAATGACAGAAAAGCAAAGAAGATGAAGCTAGAATTAAATAGATTTAAAAGATTTTTTTTAAAAAGTGTTATATGAATTTAGTGATGCCAATCAACAGCTTGAAACAGTTTCTATATTTTCTCTCAAGGAGGTCTTCGATCAGATGCTACAGCCAATCTCAACTGCAGGAAAAAAAAAATGTGGCTAACACAGTTGACATACAATTGCACTCAAGCCTTCATCAAGCCTTTCAGGAAGGCTCAGGGAAGCCTAAATCTCTGGACTATCTGCTTTAGATCTCTTAGTGAATAAATTAGAAGGCTGAAGTTCCAAAAGCATGGTTATTGAGTCTTGGAATGCTTATCATAACCTTCAGGTGAAGAAAAARCAAAGTTCAATTTTCAGGCCAATTTCCACACTTTAAACCTTAATGACAGAAACCAAATATTTACGTTACACTGAATTGTCAACAAAAATTACTTGTATTATTAAATATAAGTTTGATTTATTCAGATAGAAAAATACTTGGTAAATCACAAAATTCTCAGTAGTCCCTAAAAACACAGATGAACAAATGTCTAAAACTACCTTCACAGCCATTTGCCTCTAACAATCGTATTTAATGCTGGTGATGAAAAAGAAAATAATTTTATTTACTTACTTGAAGAGAAATATCAATATTCATGATAGCTCATCATTCAAATAGAAAATCATACAAAAGAAATTTGCTTCAGATAATTGCTATTTTCCAATTTCTAATATTCTAACATCTACAATAATGAGGAAAAAGGTCTGTTTAGTTGCTGAGTATCTTATGAAGAAAACTATCTACATTTCTTTCCTTTTTGCGGCAGAAATAGTGAAACAAAAATCTGGAATGACTGGATAACATTAAAGAGTAAATCAGAATTGAGTATTAAATGCTCCTCAAAGCTGCGTTCTATCCATGGGACCCTCCTTAACAGAGCAGGATATCACAAATTTGTAACTTCAAAATCTGATTCCTTTAAAGAACAGAGGCTGTTTCCTTCTAGACGGTAGAAAATCTSCATGGTTGTGTTTCATTTCATGGATTGGACATAATCTGCATGTTTTTAGAAACTCTAAATATGTTTTTGAAGGGAGCCCAAATCTTGATGTTTCTAGGAGATCTGAAGCATCAATCCATTCTGACACTATTGATATGAAAGTGAGGCTCCAACCTATCTCTATATGAACACTGCCACTGAGTACATAACTTTGAAATGTTTTCTAAACATGAAGCTTGTAATCCAACCCCTCCAACTCATCGACATCATTAAATATTTTGTATTTTTCATCAAGAAAAGAATCCAAGCAAATATAAGAGAAATGTTTCCCAATAGACTGAGAATAAAAATTAGTGTTTGGTCCAATAAAATTTCAACTAGCAAATTACTTTCATATGCACATTTGTAAGTGCAGAGGAGACATTTATGGGAAAACAGACTCTTTAATATATTACCATAATTCATTTTGCAAACTGTGTTAGTTCAGATGAGTAAAATGGATTTTCAAAGCTCCTTATGAAGAAGGAAATAGTCTCTGTAAAACTCTTTAATCCATTAGTTACTGAAACAGTTTCTCTCTCATCCATACCCACATACCATTCTGCCAAGAGAAAATAACACCCTGCATTATGATTTGCAAGGCAGGACTCTCCACCTAATATATTTCACCAAGAAATTATCAAGTATCTTAGATACCTGTATGAGACTTAATCCACAATCATTTCAACAGTGAAATGCACTTTACATTTCCCTGCCTTCTTTGAGCATCTCAGCTCATATAGCATGCTTTCTTCTTACACAACACCCACCAGATGTTCAATACAAACAGTGAATAAAATGGTTAATTAATAGTCTCACCAGGGTTGGCTTGAGGCACAGGCTAAGTAGGCAAGTTCCTAAATTGCAGGATCTGAACTGTCACCAAAGCACCAAGTCAACAAGGTTGTCAACCAACAACTTCCCAAACAGGAAATGTCTGTACACCCAATGTGGTCAGCAGATTCCAGTGTTTCTCATATAAGAATTTTGCAGAGTCACATAATTATCACTGCAATAGATGCTATTTCACTATCYCCAAAATATGACTGCAAAGTATTCTGATTTGAATATGAAGTTTATAGGAATCAGCTGAACACATGAAGAGATAGGGAAAAGAAAGTATTATTTCAAGTTGCAGGATGTGCTGATGAGACCAAACTCTGTCCTTGCCTAGATATGCCAAGTGCACCTAAGACCAGCCCTGAACCTATGTTACTARGTTATTTTTATTTCAAAAGATTWCACTGAGGGGCTGAYCCAAAACCCACTGAAGCAAGCAGCMTTTTTACCAACAGGCTTCAGTGACATTCTGGCTCTGGCCCTAATACTATGTTAATGTTAAAAACCAGAAGCAAATAATTAATGAAATTTATTGATTCGGAAGGGTGGGGGGTAAATCTCAGTTAAACCACAYCTTTACATGTAAAGTCAGCAATCTAAAGATGTTAAATAATCACTGCACACAACTGATAAGCGCAAAACCCAAGCAAACCCCAAGTTTGCAGCATTAGTCAAATACTAATTACAAAGCCAGAGGAGCACTGCAAAGCCAAAAAGGCATCATACTCAAGCAATGCTTAGAGTGCAGCAAATCATTATGAGGCAGCAAAACGCTCAGCAACTAGAAAATATTTCGGGAAGAAAATAAATGGGTAAGGCAGCATTTGTGCAGAAAAAATATATATGGACCTTTATTATTACCTTCAGAGATAGGACTAGGAGTGGACGCAGGAAACTGGTATGTAGGAGAGTAAGGATTGTCTTCTGCAGCAGAGAAAAGCAGTGGATTTTGAGACTATCCACAATGAAGTGGAGGTTCTGCTTAATCCCCCAACTTCCTATCACCATATGATTTTATTGCCTACTTTAATAACACTGGTCTAAATGGAAACATACTTTAAAAATAGATTAATGGATTAGCAAAGATTTAGTTATTTTATACATCACACAAGAAGGTATACTGGGCATAACTGARTTTCCAGGCAGTGTAACACATGGATAACAGAAAACTAGAACCTGAATCCAGTTACTATTAGGGCACTATAGTACAGTTAACTCAAAGCACAAGACAACAGATACTCTGACTAAAYTTCTGGTACCTTCAGTTTTTTGCTGGATTTCAGGAAGTTCAGGAAATATGTAGGTAGGGCAATAAGGGTTTTCTTCAGGATTGTCTAAGGAGAGGAACATGATTTGCAAAAAAGATCAGAAAGGAYAGATTTAAAGGGGAGGAAGGGCAAGCCAAGAATCCATTCAAGCTGACTGTAGAACAGTCCCTCTCATGCTGATGTTCCAGCAGAACACAACCTAGAATGCCTCTGTTCATTGCTGCTTTGCATGTCTGGGCCTTGTGAGAGATCCTGGAAGCCAAGGGGACTGAACTMATTCTCCTCCATCTGAGCACGGGCTCTGGCTGAGCTAAAGAACCTCTGTTAGGAGCAGTAGGATTAGGAAATCGTTCAACTCCTCCTCATTGCACCCAATACAGCACAGCATTTATYTATGCGTAAAGCTCATCAGGACAGCACTGCAGCAGCAAATACAGCTCCAGTTTGGCATGCTCTACATTTTGTTACAGMAGCACAGGTCTGAGCTGCACTCGCCTGTGTGTCAGGCTGTTCAGAGGGTTCAGTTTGCAAATGCTACTGCAGCCATTTCTCACACAGAAGAAAAATGTGAATGTATCAGCAGTCAGGCATAGAAGTGCCCCAAGGTGGGAATGCCCTGAGAGTGCACCACTGCAAAGTTTGCGACTGCTCCCTACAATTCTACGTTTTCAAAGGAGAAAGATTAGGGTTCAGATTCTGAATTCACCAAAAATTAATGGAAACCTTTCCACTGGTTTCAGTGAGCTTCAAATCATGCTTTGTTGTGCAGCTACTAAAGCTTAACAGTGTAAAAKATTTTCTCTTATGTACAGAGAAGTTTCAGGGATAACCTACTGTATTTTAAAAGCATCTGGATTGGGTTAGCTGGYAAAACTGGAGTTCAGGGATCTATTTTCTCTAAGTATGGAATTATTATTGGCTTTTCTGGTCTCATATAGTACACTTGTTTCCATGAAGACACTGCAGTTCACCTTTCAGATCAACTCAGACCTTTCTTTGGACTTCACTGTTCTYTCATCTTTGACTTCAAAGATTTCAAATACATTGGTTGAGTTCTGTGGTGCAGAGCAAACACCAGTTAACATAAAATGCTTTTATTTAACATCCAGTACAATTCTTCATATGAGAAAACAAATTGKCATCAAGGTGGTCTTTTAAAGTAAATAAAAACCATCTCTGCTACAGTACCTCTGTTTAGTTTGTGGATCTGTTTGAACATYGTCTTGTACCAGTCCTTCGATCTGTCTGTATTCTATGGGAAAAACAAATATACATAGAAATAATCAACAATGACTTCTACCAGACTTTCAAAGTTATTACAAWTCTTTCAGCAATGAAAAAGATTTCCAATCTGCTATGTGAAAGCTGTATGGTACTAATATTTTGAAATATTTATTTCACTCAGATACCTGATCTCACATGTCACGAAGCTTTACTAGAATAACTAATAATGTACAAGCTTTGCAGAGGCAGGTTGTAATCTCTGYAGAACTTTAGATTGTATGAAAAGTTTTGTATATTAATCTGGTTTGACATCTAAAATTAAACATCTTGCCTATTTTAGTCATACATACCAATTTCCTAAGCATTCAATGGACAGTTAGAAACTTTCAGTGTTTAAGCCATTCTAGACACTAGTTGTAGGAACAGGTTAGTAATTATTTTCATAAATTCCCCTGAACACTGGATGAACGTAATCCCATATAATAGAGGTATCTGCCTCTAAGATGGCTAAATGAAACAAAACTCTCCTTTAGCTGCTGCATTGGAAGGAAACAGAGGAGAAGAGAACATTATTCTCACCATTATGARAAGAAATACTGATTTTTAATTTTCTTTCCTCTGAAGCAACTGACAGTAAATGGAATAATTAATCATAAAATATGTTGGAACTAGAATTCTAACTTTAAATCTCTGCAGCTTTAGTGAGTTACCCCAAAAGTCCTCAGGTAGGCAGAATCTAGCTCAGGTTTTATGTTCAGTGTTGTCTCACCCTCAGTGGAATCCCAATATCATCAACAGAGGTATCAGCCATGTAGTGAGGGCTCCTGATGGTGCTTCTCTTTTCTTCCACTGCTCTCTTCTCACTTGGCACTGGCTCCTGAACTGGCTTGTCCCGTAGCAGTGCTGAATCAACTTTATCCGAAACTAATCTGTCTGGCACTGAATCTGGAAATGACAATGGAGGGTTCTTACCTCATCCCAGTATTTCACCACATAACGATATTCTGCTCTTTTAAAGCAAAAATCCTAGCAAGTAGTTGATGAGACAGACCATGTCACTGCTAGCTGTGGTTAGCAGCTGAACTGAAGGAAATCTCCCGAGAAAATGCCTSATGCCAGCAAAAGCAGGCATCTCTGAGGTAGTTACCATTACACACCTCCTGACAGTCCCAGCTGTCATGTAAGACAATACAAAATTTTGGTTTCAAGAATTGTTTCTTTTGACTAATTAGTAACTCCACAATGTCAAGTCTTCATCAAAAAGTGATACAGTCTCCTGTATATTATTTTTTGCTGATTTTAACTTAAAGGAGTATGTGGTAGTGAAGCACTACTTTTTAACAGCTTGCATTCACCTGTCTGACAATCCCACTTGTTGCAGACAGTGTATGATGCTTCCAATTGATTTCTGTGCCCTAATCAGACAGCATAAACAACAAATTCTGCTGTTTAAGCACACATATGATATGATTGCACAGGAGTCTGTATAAAGATGGAGGGAAATCATGAATTTCTTTAGATTGCCTTGCTTCTGAACTGGAATTCCTTGACACTGCCCAACCGACTCCCAGAGGCAGCAGCAGGCGTCACCAAGGGACTTCAGGTTGCTCTGAAGCCCTGCTCTGCTCTGGAGAGCTGCAGCACAGCAACTCATAGACTTAGTCAAGGATTTGTTCTAYGTGGATTTCCTGGAGAGGAAACATCTGCAATTTTAGTCTGCCTCATCAAGACTTTTGCAAATTTCATAATTTTTACATCACTGCATGCATTGAAAAGAGGAAGATACATTTATTCACATGCACATCATCATGCTGCCCAAAGCCATTAAATGTGTAGAAATCTGAAAGGGGCAGACAGCAAGGAAAGGCTCGTGCATAGCAATGCATTGATCTGTGGGTACCTTGAGCAACCACAATTCTGCCCTGTAAAACTCAGTACTGAAGGATTTGTGTTTAAAAGATTGGTTAGAAATTGCCACAAAGCTTTAAGTTTTCCTCCTCCTTAAGAAAAMCCAAAATAATAATGTTTCTAAATGTTCCAAATGAAGCAAAGCATATATTAAATMCTTGGTTAGCATTTTCATCCTATTTCCCCTCTCTGTGAATGTGTGTGCAGTCTTTCCTGTCATGTGTACAAGTCTCTCTATTTTGYAGGAAATATTTGGTACTCTTTAAGCCTCTATGAACAGAGCATGAAAAGAGYAACTGAAATAAGACCATTCTTCCAAGACCTCGAGGACCAAAAGSAAGCAGATTTTTGTATGGGGATGAGGATGTGAAGGTCTAGAGAAGTAATTCTTTTCTACAAGCTAAAGAATTCAATCGTAGAGAAGGGCACAAAGTCCTTCTCTAACAGGACTGATAAACGTATTTTTTTTTTAATTCCTTAGCTCCTTGCACTAGAAATGGCACACTCCCTGGCACCTGAGCAACTCCTCTGCAGGAGCAGCAGCAGTATAGGGGGTTGCACAGCAACAGTTTGACTGCTGTGACCAATAGCACACAAAAATTGGGGGAAGAGATGGGAGCCAGCAGCTTTGTGTGGTTGTTTGGTACTCTGAGAGCAGATGCAGACCCAGCTGTACCACAAAGTGCTTCATTCTTCCACACTGAGGATCTTTCAGTCTAACAAACTGCTCTGTGGCTATCTGCAGCTCAGAAAACAAAGGAGTTCCTGATAATGAAGGGAAACACCTTACGAAGGGAAAAACCAAAAGGAAACTTCTGTTCAGATTCACAGGCAAGCATTAAACTCACAGCTGCCTGGTGTCTGATCAGACAACAGCTACACTAAGAGAAGGAGCTGAGAAAAACCACTGGAAGCTGTTGTGGAGCCTGTCACCTTAACAGGACAGTCTGGTGTCACAGCCAAAGGAACGTGGGGTGTGAAGTCAGACCAGGTCAGCAGCTGCCACCTGGGCAGATTTTGTACTCATGGCACACACTGCTAGTCCAGGGCCCACACAGGAGAGCAAGAGCACATGATAGTGGCTCCTTTGGGTTTCCAGTGTGGTATTTCAAGTGCTTAGGCACTCTCCAGGACTCTCTTCTCACCCACCTCTCCATATACCCCACYATGGCCATAACTGAAAAATGTTAACAGGAGTAAACAGTGCACAATGCACTGCTCYTGTAACATCCACTACAGACTGAGCTATTTCTGTTTGGGCTGTTTGGAGGAAAAGATGACCAAGAAAATAATTTGCTCATCTTTCCACAAGAGGCTCTCATACCTGGGCAGAGAAGGGGGGCAGCACACATGCATACCTGCATACTACAATTTTACCATATAYTACTTCACATTTGACATAGCACTTCTGCTCTTGGAGTCATGTAAATACTGATTTTTATTTCTCTTCCTCTCCCCTCACCACAAGCAAGACTAACTGCACTGGATGTGTAGAGAAACATGAGAATATGCCCTAAGGGAATAAACCTAAAGGCTCAAAAGGCAGCCCCAAAAGTCAATTAGAACAATCAAACTATGGACATTTYATGATGTATGAGAAAATGACGAATAATTTAGGGATTTCATCTATTCCTTTGCAGTTCCTGGGCAGTGTGTTTGCTAAAGGTACCCCACAAGCTATCAAAGCAGCAGCTTTGCTCCAGCAGAGGCAGCAGTTGAGGGGTAGCAGACCTTTCACATCATACCTGCCAGGCTACTAAGCCTTTTTTGCTGTTCTGTGGTATAGGAAGAAACAAAACAAAAAGAAATACAGAACAAATGYGTGAGACATAAACAGCAAGTGCTCTGGTGCTGCATTTCTGACAGGCAAGAAGTACGGTGTAGACAGAATGGCAGCAGCTGCTGGAGAGAATCTGTTTTCAAATACCCTGCCAAAGTGACAGCCCACAGTTCCTTCTCCACACAGCAGCCTCGTGGAACAACATAAATCTCATTATGCAGTGACCAATACATTTGCAAAGAGCACTTTCATTTAAATTTTCTTTGTTTTTTCGTAACATCAGAGAATGAAACATTGAACAGGACACCATTTGAAAACCAGTAAAAACTCACAGAGTCAAACAACTTGACAACTAACTCTTTTACCATTAGCATGAAGTACATTTTGAAGTAATATTGCTGTAGCATTTCAAAAGGATATAGGAAAGGACCAAGYCATTGCTGGTGCTTGCTGAGTCTCATCACATATTACTGAGCCATAGATTCAGTGATTTGTGCACAGACACAGCTTGAAGGCTTTGATTCTCRAAACAATCCCCTTAGTTAGAGGCTTTTCATTAATGAGTTCCCAGACTGGGAAATTTGTGCTATCTTTCAGCAGGTTTGACCACCCTAAAGTTAGTTCTTTCTAAAAGAATGTCCAAATGACTTACCCAAACCACAGATGGGAATATACCAAGAATTCTTAGTACTCTGYCCTCTGCTTATTTTACTCCCTAGCAATTAATCCTTTTCTTTAAAGCATGAAAGCCATTTAAAAAGAAGAAACTATTTCACTGTACAAACATTTTTGAAAGCTCATATTGTTAGTGCAAAGATTAAAAAACTTTAATATAKTAAACACACCTGTTATATCTTCATATGATAAACCACACCATGCAAAGCCTGCACAGGAAATAATCRAGCTTTGGGGTGGCACAGAACACTTGTCAAGCAAGTCTGCAGTAGTAACAAACCTCCAGTGTGTGCTGTTTGCTAGCAGAACCACCTTCATTAGGTGTTTGTACCAAATGGATCATCTCAGCAAGGGAGACTGGTATGTCTCTTCAGAGCATTTCCCTCATCAATACCTCTGAACCTCATTCAGCCCCAGCCCTCTGCTCTGCTGATCACAGWCAGCGAGTTGTTCCTGTGCATTATGTTCACATGAGAGCTGCCAACACAGGGAAAAACCTCTTCATGCACTGGGTGAAAGGAAGGGCCAGCACTCTGAGGCAGGAGAGCAGGTGGGAAACACCTGCTGCAAGGCTCACTGGTCTAAGCAGGCAAGCAGGAATATGTTGCTGTACTAGAGGAAACTGCAGTGAGAAATTTAAGGATGCCCATCTCTGAAACTTGTGAGGAAAAATGTGAGGTCTCGGCTTTAGCCACCCCTTCACCAAGGAGAACTTACTGAATCACTAAGCTTTTCTGACAAGAACATGTGGTTTAAGGAATCAATGCTTGGGAGGTTTTTCCTATCTCATTTCCGCAGAGGAGGGAATACCATGAATTAATAGAATTCTTATTAAAAAACCCAAATATAGTTATGTGAAGGAGAGATTTCCTTTTCACTTGTATCTCTGTGTGGGAATGGGAGCAGCTGGTGGATAGAAGCAGAAGGAGCTGGAGGTGTCTTATCTCCTGCCTGACCAGAGTCAGGTGGTGCAGCCACAGACACACCAGCTAGCTGAGGCTTCCACCTTTGATCTTGTCTTCTGGGACGGTAAGCAAATGCCAAAAACTTGTGGGATTCCCAGGGAAAGGGTCAAGCAGAGGGATAAAACTGCTGACAATAGTGAAGGAATGATTATAGATGCCTTCAGAGGTACCCAGACTTGAAATCAGTRAAAGAAAGGGAAGAGAAAACAAGTATTTGAGGACATGTTTAGTGCAAAATAAAGGTGTCAAAAAGAAAATTTGCTAGAAATGAACAAGAGAATCTGAAATAACTTGTTTTTAAGTATGAATTTTATTCAGTTGATACCACTGAAATCCAGGAGAAAAATTCTGAGATTTTTCATCAAGCTTACTGAGTAAGATCAGGCCAACAAAAAAGGATATAGTGAACTTTCTATTTTTCAAATGCCATTACCAGTTTCTAAGTCTCTGATGGCTCCAAATCAAATTGTCTTACATGCAGATTAATGAACTAGCACATAAAGCACTAAATAGTAAGAAGTAGGTGATGTCTGCCACAACAGTCACTTCAGAGAGTAAGAGAACTTGCTCCTTAAAAAACAATCAATAATCCATTGAGGAGAAAGAAAGCCACATTATCCATCTGGAAGACGAACTGAACTATTGGAGATCTCAGACTTCCTGCATTAAAAGGACCTTGAAATTTCTAATTTACAAGGCATTTCAGAGCACACAAGAAGAATTTTTACTAAACATCATCTTGACATGAGAGAATTGATTTCAGTACAAAACATAATTAACCATTCAGGGGAAGGTGGAACATAACCTAGTAACAATTTGTTATATGCCACGAGAGCAACTTAGTTTTGAACAGATAAGGTTTATAAAGATGAAACTAAATATGAATAATGTCAGCTGCGACAGAAATTCAGTAGAAAACTAAGATCTGAGAAACATTAAAAAAAACTAAGTTCACAGTAAGATATCCTAACACTATGCTGGGATAAATCCTACATGGCAACGGAAGCATAAGGAACTGCAGGAAACCCTCAACACATAAAAAGATGGAAAATGTACACCTACAAGAAGGCAACATATGCTGGGAAATGAAAGAAAATTACAGCGGAATTAAAGCATTAACAGAATGTCTCAGACTCAAAAATAGGTTTGAGGCACAAGAAGAATAAACAGAAACCTAGCAATGATCTTGTTCTTTAACAAAATAGGCACAGTGGAACTGTTAATAAAAGGGCAGGAAAGATGACACATCTGATTACTATTTCCATTCTGCACTTGAGAAAAAAAGGAAGAAAAAAAAAGTATGATGTCCTACTGCCTGATGGAGAAATACTTTCCACTACAACAGTAACTAAGGACTATGCTGAAGGACAACAGCTGAGGTCAGATGAAAATTAGCACGTTCATATAGACCTTAGTTAACAGCTTTAGAGCAGTTTTTTGCTCTAAAGAGAACAGCTATGGAGATTGGACCATTAGCATTCATCCTCAGTATGTCTTGGAACGCAAATGAAAATCCACAGGACAAGGAAGAAAGCAAATGTTGTGACAACCTTTGAAAAACATTAGTCTGATGGCTGGGACATCTGTCTGTCAAGTCAGCAATAATGCCATAAAAATTATTTATATGGCATCTTTAATAAATACAGTTTCAGACATATAATGTCAATCAATATAAATTTGTGACTAAGATGCCTTGTCAAACCAACATGATGCACACAGATTGCAAGTTCGACTAATATAGATTGAAAAACAGGGATTAGAATGATGTACTTCAAAGACACGACCAAACTGCATATCAGGCCATGATCAGTACCACAGAAAAGCATTCATCAGTGCTTTTCAAGAGAAGGCTCTTCAATCTATCAGGGTAAAGTATCAGGAATGCTAATGGTTTGCTAAGAGCAATATTCAGACAGGACAAATCGTTAACCATGAAGGTAATTAGTAAAGAAAATCATTTCACATCAGTCCTCTCACAGCCAGTGTGTGTGTATCATCACATTACATAACTTTGTCTCTCGATGCTCCTGAAGTCTACAGAGAGAAAATATCCTTGTGTTGTACACAGTGAAATGCTCCGAATTTTGAAACATAAAAAAAGACCAAAAGAATACACCATGTAAAGAAAGTCAGCAAGAAGCTCTGAGATTCAAAAAGGCTGCCTCAAATCAGATTTTCTCCTCTTGAAGCAGCTGAGGAATCCAGACACCCTTGTTCAGAAACACATAAGCAAAACTACTTGAGATGCTAGCCAAAAGGAGGAGATAATCTGCTCATTACCCCTTTAATCAGCGGGGCTACAGTGAGAACACTATCTTCAGGCTCAAAGACTGAAGGCTGTTTTTAAAAGGTACTGCTAAAAATCCCATGAGGGACTGCAAAGGAGCTACAGTATGAAAGTGCAGGTCTTTGCCCTATTTTCTCATATTATTTTCCTTGCAAAAGGTAAGCCACAGCCCTGTAGATTCCTGGACTTTTCCAAATCCACTAGAAATCAAGGCAAACTGGACTGCACYTCTGAAGCCTGTTAAAAGCTACAGTCTTTAGTGATTCACAGTGACCTGGGAACCTGTGGTAATGTCAGCCATCAGGAGAACTAAAAAGGAGAAGCAAAGTTTCCCTCAAAATCCAGAGGTAAAGAGATGGAACTATCCATCCAGAGAGAGCTTCTGTGAGAAAGGCTTCAGTTACTGGGAGCTCTCAAACAAGGCTGWGTTGCTCATATGCAAATCCAGAGCTCAAGGATTACTGCAGTATGAGTTTGAGTTGATCCAGTTACTGATAGAGGAAAAAACACTGCCAAGATAAAACTTGTGGGCAAGCAGATTATTTACTATTGGGCAAGTTCTGCTGCAAATTCAGAGGTCAAATCTCTCTCATATTAATAGAAAATGCAGTTGCTTTTGTGCTGCAGTAGCTAAGAAGTAACATTTCCCACCACAAGAAGACACCTGACAGCTCTTATCTTGCAACAGCTTAGTCGTATGTCCATAGCACAGCTAAAAACCTCTCCCCAGTCTCAAAGAGCTTCTGATCCACAGGTTTTAATTAAAACATACATTGCTCTCACTTGTCTGTTTTATGTTCTAGTCACTACAACTTTTTGGAGGCAACTTCGTTAGTTCTCAGCAGTCTGGACCTAATTATTCACAGCACACACATTCTCCAGTTCCTTGCAGCGTAACAGTTTGCTCACATTTGAGCCACAATTATCCATATGCAAGTCTCCTTACCTCGATTGTGCTGCAAGAGGACAATAGTGGGATTGACAATTGTGGTAGAAGGATAGGCAGAGGCAGACTTGCTGATGGAAGTGATGGAGTCAGTGCCAGGCTGGGGCACTTCATTTAGCACAGGACCTGGGTCCTGAAAAGAAAAGCAATATATCATTAGCATAATGCAAAAGGCTGCTACACCAGGAAAATCTGGGAAAAAAAACCCCAATATTTCAGGCTGAATGAGAAGCATAATCACAGCAAATTTTAGTAAAAAAAGGCATAAGCACAAGTATTACCCTGCTCTTTGTACATATGCTACTCATTGTTAATGGAATTAGTTTGCTAAGGCAGTACTACAGTTATTTGGTGTTGGGTTTCACAACTCCAACCCCAAAAGAGGGCACTAAGTTTATCTAGCAGACTCTTTGGAGCAAACACAAGGTGTCAGAAATGAGCAAAACTTGTTGCAGGGGGGAGGGAAGACGTTCTCTTTCCCCTGATACATCCACACACAAACATTTGTTCCAAGAGTATTTCTTTCATAGCAAGAAGTCYGACATGCAAAACTCATGCAATTCTGGAGTGAATCAGTATTACTGCAGCTGGTTTGGTAAGAAAAGTCTAAGAAATTAAATTAGCACTGTCACTAGAGAGACAGTGTGATACCTACCTGATTAAAGTAATGACATAAAAAAAMCCCAAAACTGACAGGGGGTAAAAAGTAGGACTCTAATAAGGAAGGTGGCTCTGCTGCTGGAGCACAGATAGCAAGCTGCTCTTGCTGTCCTAAAGCATCCATCTCCATTATCTGCTTAGTTCAAACCCACCTTTAGTATCATCACGGCTCTGGCTGCTCTGTATAAATATAGGCTGTGTCAGCAGAGAGACTTTGAAAACTAGTTCACCTTTGAAAAACCTCAGTCCAATATCTCATGGATATTGGACTTTTGGTGGTGATAAGGTGGCTGAGATAAAGAAGGGATGATGCCTAAAGACTGTGTGTGCACCAGCTTAGGCTGAGAATTGTCAAAGCTTCTTAAGGAATTCAAACACACAATTACCGTTAATGGGGACTGCGAATCCAAACAAAGAGAATATGGGACAGCAGACCAAATTCCTGCACTCCTGCTGCTCCACTGTCTCAAATGCTTCGAGCTACTGATCTGTAAAATCAGCTGAGCATTCAAAGTATTTTCATCAACTCCTGAATATGCACAGAATATTGCTCCAGAAAAATCCCTACTTCCAGCTTTTCTGGCCAAGTGCAACTGCAACTCAGTGCCCTTCAWACCCACCAGCATCAGACGAAAGGACTTACAGCATCAGGCAGGGAACTGAACAGGGGCCAAAGTGAGGCCTGGCACCAGAGCTCAGAGAAAAATCATAGTGAGAATTTGCCATAATCAGAACAAGCACCTACAGCCTCTCCAACCTTGCGGGGAAATGGGGAAGAACAATCTTGTTCTGTTGGATGAAGGTGATCTTGCTCCAGGCAGCATCTGGTGAGGCCATAGACATTTCATGGGGAAAGAAAAGAACCAATGGTCTTCAGAAATAGATGTCTCCAAGAGAGAGACCCAGCCCCATTTTGCTAACTGGAATAATATTCCAAACAATGCAATTAGGGCAAAGGAGCAAGAGTCAGGGAAAAGTACAAGAATTTGGTTTGACCTTCACTTTGATGACTAAAATACAAATAAGAATCCCTCAAAGAAGAGTGATGCTGGATYGGGATAGCAGCCCCAGAGAAGTCACCAAAGAGGATGAAGGAAGACCATTTAAATAATTGTGGAAAATAGCTCTGTGGCTGCATGCCTGAAGTGAGCATGTCCAAAAATGTTTCAAAACTCTCATCTCAAGAAAGTCAGGTACAACAAAATCTCCACTGGTCCTCTATGATTTGGGTGCCTCCTGATTTATTTTTCTGGAGTCTGCAGATAGGTTTCATTWAAAAAAAAGACAAAACAACCAAAAAAAACCCCTCTAGAACACAAAAGTGAAACACAAACAAACAAAAAACACCAAACAAACAAAAAACCCTACAAAGTAAAACCAAAACACCAAATCCAAACTTTCATTCATTGCTCTCTGCAATAAAAACCCTACCAATTTTAACAAAAGTAGAAAGGCCAATGCTGAGAACATTTGAAAATATCATCCCTGGTTGTTTTTTTCTTTCCCCCAGTCCACATGCCTGTTTGTTAAATCCCTAAAGACTCAAAGGGCAGAGCAAGCAYCATCATGAGAGAAGGCAGTGTCTGCTGAACTTCTTCCTTGTCCTTACAAGTAAGCATAAAAAGTGGCTGGAAGACTTCCAGTACGAGGAGGGTAGGGTACTTTTTGCCTCCTCTGCAACTTTAACTGAGAGATACTTTTCCTCCCTTGTCCCCGAGGACTTTTTAAAATAGGTGATGAGCTTAAAGAGAAACAGAACCTAACCCAAGAAGAACACAGTAAATTCCAAGTTCAAACTCTTGTGGACTGAATTCTTCAAAATTTTCRAAGACAAGCAATTCCAAATTGATGAAACTCTCTGTCTAATCTATCCCATAGAACCTCCACGCTTGGAAGACTCTACAGAAATTGATCTTATAACTCGCAGGTCATTGGATCCTGGCAGCAATCTTACACTGATTTTATCAGGGATTTGTGTGGAGACCATATGGTCTTACGGCTCCAAGKGGAACAGAAAGCCAGGCCTAACCTTTAACTGGTCTGCTGCTGCTGCTTGAAATGTTATTCAAATACAATTAAGGATTCTATAAAAAGACCCTGAAGAGATCAGTTAGTTGCAGCTATTCAGTTTATGCAGAATTCATTATTCTGAGCAAATCCTGTGAGGACTCTTAAGGYGTGCATCACCCAGCAGAAGGGGCACAAAGGGAGACAGTCAATTGTTGCAAGAAGTCAATAGAAAGTTCAAAGCTGCACAAGGCAGGCAAAACTGCATGCACTAGCACAGGATGCAAACAAGGTTTCAGCTGTCATGCTGCTGGCAGGGAGTGAGTCATCACTCCTCCCTCAAGTTTAGTATTGCAAGGAGAAAGTAATTTTAATCCCAGAATACAAATTTAGGAAAAGGGCGAGGAGGGTACTTGGCAAGCTTACTGTATGTGAGATGACTCCAGTGATTTCAGGCTTCAAACCCCTGTGCAAAGCCCCCGTGACTGGAGGGACAAGTGAAGGTGGTGATGAGAAGAATGGCAGTTTCGGATAAACAGAGGGTAATGTGCCAGATGTAGAGGGTGCTTGGTTATGGTGGGAGCCCCTCTGGAGATGTGGGGGAATAAAATCGTCTAGAGTTGGAAAAGTCAAGGGTGAGGCAGGAGAAACAATCTCAGGGAATACGGAGCCTTGCCCGAAAGGAACCAGAGGCGGTGGTGGAGTGCTGGAGCTGCCTTCTTGTTGTCTGTCTGGATTAACCTGGAGGAGGGGGACTACTATAACTCCAGGCTGAGCTGAGGTGGTGGCAGTGGCATCCTGTAGGAAACAAGGTGTGGTTATGCACTGGGGGAGATTGGTACTTTAGTTTAATGCAGCCATCGTGTCATGCAAGGAATGTACCCAAAATGATACAAAGCCCCAACAGATCTTCTTTCCTTAATGAGACACACTTYTTCAGGCTTGCAGCCGTGGCCTCTATAAACACAAAGTTTTTTCACAAAAATCTTCAGATCCCCTCACCAACCCTCTTCTCCAGTTCTGTGTAGTGAGGCTAAATGAAACCACAGAACAGCTCAGCATTCACCATGACTTGAGAAGCTCTAACCATCACATTACAGAGTTTGCTTCTTTCACATCTCCCTAAAATAAAAAGATCCTCACCAGCCCAACCCAACTCCCTATAAGCACCACACACACACAAACACACAGATCGACACTGAGGGGACACACATGGGGTGTTAAATATTATCAAGTAGAAGACCACAAGACTCAGGGAGGCACAACAAGTGCTCAGAAATTAAGTAGGAGGGGAATAAAGCATTAAGGGAACACTGTAATGAATTAAAGAACTGTTCACACGGCTGAAAGAAAACAAGGTTATGGAGAAAACATGTACCATGCCACGTCCCATTGCCTTGTATGGTGGCTGTCGCTGCTGAGTAAGGTAAGGCTCTTTTCTCATCCTGTCCTCTGTGGCAGTTGTGCTCTGGGGCTCTAGCACTCTGTCCCTCACAGCTTGCGGAGGTGATGACTGAGTCCGGGAGGGCTGGCCCGCACCATAACTAACTGCGTCTTTGCTGAGGACAATGTAATAGTACGGCCTGGGAGGAATAGGAGGAGGAGGAGCAGCAGGAAGAGACTTTTCAGTGTCTGTTACAGAGGAAACAATGTTGGTGGCTGGTGCCTGAGTGAGCTCAGCGCCCAAACTGGTGCTGGCTGCTGGGTCATGTGTGGTGCCAGTGGAATTTTGAGATGCGCCTGAGCAAGTGCTGTTAGATAAACAAGCCACATATAGYTTGGTGACCTTTTTATCCGCCTTCGTCTCATGACTGGAATTCATTCCAGCCTTACTACTGGGATCTGCCCTGTCAGGGTTGCGTTGTATGGACGATGCACCYGATGAGGAGTGACTTCCCCAGAGTGGCTGCCCAGCATGCACCTCATCTTTGGGGCCTGAAGAGGGAGAACGCCCTGCTGGCAAGCCTTGCTTCCCGCTGGGGACAGCCCCATAGGGGGTAGGTGATGATGAATAACAGCGTGCACTGGTGTTTGGTGACACACGCTGCGTATAAGGCTTGGGTGCATTCAGGTACACACAGTCCATGATGGGCACTGGCAACAGGTTGGTCACTTTAGTGTCAGTGCGAGGACGCCATGCAAAGCTTTCCTCTTTGGGAAGAGGAGGACGGGGAGGAGCAAGGGCCTGACCAGGCAGAGTCAAGAAGGTAGGAAGGAGAGAGGAAGCAGCATCAAATGAAAGGAAAAAGGAAGGAAAAAAATTAAAATTCTGAGAATGAATTTGATCATTAGACTTGGGTTAAGCAGGTTTTAATACAGCAAGAATAAAAAGCAATTACAGTATTTGGAAGGCCAGTGCAGAACTCACTCACATACACTGTCTCACACGCTCTTTCTTAGCACAGCACACAAACTTAACCCAGCTCTCAAGTCCCTGCCTACACGTTTCTCTCTCTATGCTCAATAATTCTCACTACTGTATTGTTTTGAGAGGCCTGCACAGCAACACCCACCATGCCCCTGGGAAAGCCTCAGTCAAGATTTAACATCATGGCTAACTAAATTCAGGCTCATGCTTGCATAACTAAACACTTCCCAGCAATGGGAACGTTTGAACTGCAAAGCCAAATCCAGAGCTCTAGGCCATCTCTGCCTGTTAAGTGCACTGCTGAAAAATGAACATTGGAAAGTTTCTCCAGCACTAATGAAAGCAGACATCATGCGAATGCTGTAGCCTATCACAGCTGGCTAAGCARAAAGTCAGCATTTCTTCTTTCTAAAGGCCAGCTCTTCAATTCTCTTTAGGATTTTTCAATCCTGAAAATGCTTTCAGGAAAACCACAATAATTAAAGTTTCTTGAGGAACTGAGATCATCAGAATTTGCCTCCAGAATCAAGATCACAACAGAGAAATCCTGCTTCCAGTAAATAATAAAAAAAGCTTTACTRGTCTTGGCAATTTGCAACACAGAGCTTGCTAACTCCAAAATGCCTGCTGATTGCAATTCCAATTACAGTGAAATTTTTTTCTGAAAGCCAAACTGTTTTGAGATAAAATAACAATAGAAAAGTTTCATTTTACTTATTGCCTTGTTACCAGTACCTGAAAGCTGCTGGAAAGAACAGAATTAAAATACCCACCTAGCAAACAGCAGCCATCTGCATTTTTGCAAATTAATCCTTTGGAGACTGTGAAAATAGGTTTTACGCACACCCATACTGTTGTCACATCTTTATGGGCAAAGGCTGCCTAAACCACTGCTAAAAAGGTCAAAACCAGAGAAACGAAGATGCCTTAACAGCTTGCAATATTCAAATCTGGAAACAAACATCCTTTAAAAACCATCCACATGTGACAAGTTGTGGCAAGCACCTCTTGTTAAATGAATATAGATGTAGAAAAGTTTCATAAAATTGCAGCTGCTGTTCCAAAATTTGCTGTCCTTATGCTGCAACTCTGCCCCTCCCTGCCTTCCCTGAAGCATAAGGGAGTGGAGAAGTGGGTTGGGTTAGTGCTGTTCTGAAGGCTTCTGCCTCTGAACAGGATCATTCCTTGCTGGAATTTCTTCCATTTCATCTCCATTTGAACAGTAGCTCTTGAGACTTCTGTAACTAGCATTATGTGCACTCGCTCTAAGTATTCATCTACAACATTAGGAAAGGACTACAGGGCAGCTGTTACGTATTGAGCAGAAATGGGTCTCTCTTTAAGGTGCTACTCCTTCCCTCATCTTCACTGGAGCTGTTCCTTCTTCCACTTTCACTTAGGATGCCTGGTCTGTAGCACTGCTAAAGGGACCCTGATGCTGGGAGCAGTCACACTGATAGCAGACTGGCCTTTAAAGTTCTACACAAGAATGCAGTTTCTGTTGAAGGGTTTTCTTACCAGCTTTCAGACTGCRTCTGCACAGACTGACATCCAGCAACAACAACAAAAAAAAGACATTGCACTTCTCTTAACAGATTGACTTCAACAATYTACTTTCAGGTATAAAAAACTTTTCAATTTTGCCTTCTATCAGTTACAGTGTTAAAACTGAAAGACATTTCTCCAATACTTTATTTTTAATGTAGGGTGCAACTCTGATTTCAGCCTGCAGCAATTTCTAGGAAATAAATGAACAYAAAATACATAATAATTACAGATGGTTACTTCACCTTTTTTTCTTGCAAACAAATAGAGCTGTCCTCCTTCGTCCACCCAGGAAACACTGTGGTGTGTCTGAATACATGAGTTCCACAAGGCTTTGCTGACAACAGTGTTGCCTCCATTTAAAAGGTAGAAAAAGCTGAGGCACAGCAACTTACCCATCTGCAGCCAAGTTTGGAGTTCAACCCAGGACTCCTGATCACGAATCCAGTGCTTGAACCCAGGTGATCACCCTGATGGTCACAGAAGAAAGGCTTACCTGTGGCTTGCTGTCTGAAGAAAGGTTCGGACGCACACTCCTATAACCCTTGGCAGCCAGAGAAGATGGCTGGGCATCCCCATTGGCATCGGTGTTAGACGACGACCTCCAATCATCTGCGAGGGGAAAGAAAACTCAGATCACCGAGGATTCCCTCCAGCTGCAGGATAAGCAAAAGGAGGGGACTATTCTTCCTTTTTCCCCCCGCTTTCTTTTTTCCCCCAGGCAACAAGAAATAATTCCAATAAAGCAATGGAAGTAACAACAGAAGCAGCCAATGTTTATACCTGTTTCTGAGTTTTCTGGCTCCAGACCTAAGTGTTTCACAGAAAGGAGGGACAGAGGAGGTGGGGGTGGAGAATAGGCACAGAGGAAAAGAAAGGGRAAAAAAATAAACCATTACATTTCCAGAAAACATGTACCAATTGAAGTTAAGAGTCAAGCTACTTCATTTCACACATAAAATGCTTTCTGACAGGGCTGTGTAATTACCATAGAGACCAGCCCTAAACATGATGTCCTCCTTGTTTCTGACCTTTGTTAACACAAGGCAATTCATTCAGAGCAATGAAGAAACAATTGTTCATTGACATTCTTATTTCAGAGGCAAAAAGGCTGCCCAGCTAGCTACTTTATAAAGCTGCAGCTTGACATCCAGACATCACAAATTACTGGAAATGTAGGGACCATGTATTCATATTATGAAGACATATCTAYCCTTAATAATATCACTATATGCAATTGAGATAAAGGATTGCCAACAAATAAATCAAGTTTTGCAGACTAAGTGCACAAAGGGAGTTATAAGATACAACACCACTTTACAATCTAGCCCTGCAGCTACATGCAGTGGTCTCGTCACATATTTACCCACCTCCCATTGGGTTGCTCCCCACCCTGTACCCATTTTGCTGTTTAAGTTATATGCAAAAAGCTCTTCAACTCCAAAGTGCATTTCATAAAGCATTTGAGAGAGTAAGCAAAAGAAGTATTAATGAGCTGATTTCCATAGTAATGGGCCCATTGCCATTCAAGCAGTTGGAAATTTATGAAGCCATCAACAGAAAGGAGAGAGGCAACAGTGGGGGGCAGGAGTGAAGAAACAGAGAAAGGCAAGCATGAAAAGAGGGTAGGTCAGGGGTGGAGCAGAACGGGAGAAGACAGAGAAGAAAGTGGCACATTAGGACTAGAATTAATGGAATTGCCCTTTCTCCAACAATACAGTCAGAAACGATGTATGCTCTGTTTTCAAGAGCAAATTTTACCCCCTCCCCCTTAACGGCATCTTGCCTTTGGGAGTTCATCCTCTTTGCCAGACCCAGGACACTGGCCAGGTTTGTTATGCTTTGCCTGTCTCCTACAATTAAGTAATTACACGTCTGCTATTGAAAGACAGCAGAGCTCCGTGGCGACACTGTCTGTCGGGGGGACGCTATCCCTGCCTCCTTGACAACCCAACTGAATGTTACAGTGGCAGGAGCACCACTCAGCTTCTTTCTGTTCCACATCACGCCTGGGATAAGAGGAGGAGGCGTGTGGAAGCCAGGGGGGGAGAAAAAAATGGACAAAGAAAAGGAGAGTTTTGGTGCTCCTGACAGATTTAAGCCAATGAGTGGTCATGAAACCTGGACTAGGAATCAGTCTCTCTCTACTGATCTGGTTCTTGCAAGAGGTTTCCAACCATACTATGGAATTCTGGGCTTTAAACCAGTTACAAAATAAGTCCAAGACCCTGGACTGCCCTGTCTTGAGGTTACTGTAAGCAACATATTCCAGTCAACCTTCCACCACTTACTTTCAGGTTGCTCAACGTCCTGAGGAGATGGTGAAGTGATATTCCGATTCCCTTCATAGGTTGGAGTTGCCCGGAGGGTTACAGCTCCTTTTCCACTGCAGACTTTTGTGGGATCCATTTCTACAGGAAATGCACGTGCACAGAAGAAACACATAGAAAGGGATGATACAAAGCTATTAGGAGCCATCAGAGCTCTAGTGCAATTTTAGCATGGCTGCATCCAGGTGAATCAATCTAGTAATGTTTGTGCAGATGAAGATCAGCTCTGTATTTAAAGCATTGAGAAATCAAAGCAGTTTCATATTAATGTAATTGATGAAYGTAGCAGTTAAGTTCTGAGTAAGTGCAACAGAGCAAAGAAACGAGGGGAAAAAGAATGTGTTTGAACCAAATGTCACAAGTCCATTTGCTTTATTTGCTCTGCTTTGTACAGAGATACTCTGCTAGCAAGGAAAGTCTACCATCACACCTGTGTCTCTTCTATAATAGGGATGTSCCACTGGCATAATGCATACACTTCTGTGCTAAAGCTTAAAAATGCCCTTTGTAGAGGACTGAAAGAGGAAAAAAAAMCAGCAGACTTACGACCACTGGAAGATAAAATTTTGTAACGATGCTGAATATAATCTAAAGGCAAAGCACTGCAAGCCATCTCCCTGCCATCTCCACAGTTCATGTCAATATTTCACCTTCTGACACAGAACCCAAATGCTGAAAAGTAGAAGGAGATTTAATATATGCCYATTGAGGTCAACCTATGAGCCAGATACCAGATCATGCCAGCTGAGGCACAGTTCAGCACAGCTTCTGTGCAGTCTTACCTTTGTGTATTTCAGTCCATGATTTGGGTCAGCCTATTAGGCAATAACAAACCAGTACTTCAAAGCTATCTGTTTGCTTTAAGATACTTCTGGAACTAATTAGCCTAAGAAGTGTCTCATCTCTCTAGGACACTTTCATAGAAAAACACATCACCTCCTCTTCTCATTCACTATTAGTGACCCTGCAGCTGCCATCAGACTTCACTCTGACTACCCAGAAGACCAGCCCTACCATTATTGCACAGGGAGAAGRAAGAGGTACTGAGTGCCTGCTGCATTACACAAGTGACAACACAATAATTTTCATTCCTATGGGTYGAGGATCATGCTATCTCTGCATGGGGAAGGATGCAGCTCCTCTCTAGGAACTGCTATTAYAACAAAAATTATGCCTTCAGACTGGACAGAGGGGGCAAAGACTGTTGTTTATTGTCCAGACAACAGCCCACATTTGTGCATATCAATATTCCCTGGCTGATTTCAGCAAGGTAATGCCCCATCAAATCCACACCAGTACTATGCCTACAGACCATGCTAACACCTTGGCTAAGGTTGCAAACCTTATAAATCCCAGCCAGCATGGCCATAATACAGGGGAAAGTCTGGCTCTTAYTGAAAACCCTCTATGCTGGAATCTCCACTGTCAAGGCCCTTACGTGGGCTTCCAACGCTTTAGAAATTTCACAAAAAGCATAGTTTAAGATCCATACTTAGGACTAAGAAAAGRATGGAGCAAGTAAGAAATCAGAGGATACTTTCCTATAATTCAGCCTTTAGCCAACTAAGGCAGCCTCTGTGAGGGGAAGCACTATCCATCCAGGCATAGCAAAAGCTGTTTCATCTTTAAATATACCACAACTGATCACAACTTAAGGTCACTCACATTCCTGGTGAAGCAGAAGTTGACTTCTCTGACTGATATTTGCATGATTCAGGTAGGGTCAGGATTCCTTTTGCCCAGGAGTGCAGTTCTGGAATCACCTCCATCCTCCTAGTACAACAGGCAGCCCAAGGACTCTATGGACTCACTCCAAACCACAGGACAAAGGTTTAAGCCCCAAGACTCCAGTTTTAAGAGTGCTGTAAGGCACGAATACACTGTTGGGAGCCACTGGGCCTGATATAGATATCCATAAAGAGTTTAGGGTAGCTGTCCTCCTACAGCCCTATGCCTACATTTCTTTCACAGTCACTGGAGAGAAATGGAAATAGAGCTCAACATGTATRACATGTCTAAGCACCATCTTCATCATACTGGAGGAGAAACAAATTTAGCAATCAATTTTTTAAAAAATTTTCCATACATATTAAACCTGTATACTGAACCAAAAGAGTCAGAAAAAAAATTCTCTAAACTCAAAAAAATTAAAATGCTTTGAAAATATTTGAAAAWAAAATCTTGCCAGACTATCACCTTGGGAAATGAAAACAAATGACTAAGATGATGAATTCTCTCACAATTTAGGTGAACTGACAGAAAAGAAGAATCTGAATCTCTCAGTATAGAAATCCAGCAGATAGTAATAAACAGGACATTAGCACTGTACTAGTCCAACAAAGCACACGTGACAGATTAGGAGAGACAAGCAGTATCAGCTACACTAGGCTGGCTGTCCAAATCCAGCAAAGTACAAGCATAATCTTGTACTTCTAGTGGGGAAGCATGCACTTGGGGAGGGCATGACAGACAGCCCAACATCCTTATTCACATATAGATTAAATTCAGTGCATGTACAGAAAAACAAAAGCATGCCACTAATGTTGAACCATTTACTTTCATAAAGACCAAAGATGTGCAGGTAACATTCTTTGGTTCTTCAGGAGTTTGGTTCAAAATGAGTCTATAAAAATCACAATATTTTTCAGAATTGAGCATTGSTCAAAGAGCTTACAATGATCCCAGATTCAAGCAGACACAATTATGTCTGCAGAAGAGCAGCATGATTGAGAACAGTGCATTGTGCCATCAAGARCTAACTGCATTACCTACTGATGAAATCTGCAGCTCTGGGAGGAGTGAGAGGAGCATGATGCTGAGAATTAGCCAAAGCACATGGGGGAAGCTGACACAWTGACAGAGACAAAGAAGAGAGGCAATGATGGCTAACTGATACATGGCAGGGGAGGAAGGAAGAAGATACCTGTAGGCAGCACTAGGTGAGGAGAACTTTTCACTTTCTTCACAGGGATTATTTTAACAGCAGAAATAGAGCTTGTACATAAAGGGACGTCAACAGCTGCAAACACAAAAGTGTAAATGGCACATCCAAAAAGGAAAGACCAGAGTTTGGGAAGCATGCCACAAAATTTTCTAACRCACTTGGAGACACAATAGCAGGAAATTTCAAATACAAAAGCAGTCTAGAGAAAAATGATGCAACCTTTAAAAATATCCCTTCATTCGCCCTAATTCAGGATGTGTCTGTATGCAGCATACAGAACTGCTTACTGAATGGACTAACTGCTGACTGCCACTATGCTGCGGGCAAAAAGAATCTGGAAGCATTAGTTTTTAGAAGCCATCAAAAAATGTTAGTGTAATCATTTAACTGAGGTACACTACGTGCAAAAATAAAAATGTTAAGTAAAACATTAATATGGTTCAGTAAAAACAAAATAAAGTGAGAAAAACAAGTACTGAAAGGTTGAGAGAAGAACATTAAACTAACTACATTACATGAATTCTGAATTTTATGGCTCATATTTTTWCAAGTTCAACAACAGAAGGAAGTGAAATAATCTTGAAAAAGGTCCCATGCCAAAGGGTAGCATCCGTTTAGCTATTTCAGAAAAAAAATCCATTCACATAAACATAAATTGAAGAGATTTCTACCTGGCTCCATCAGCTAGYACACTAATTATACTATATGCAGTAACACAGGGAAAACCATACATAGCACTATGCAAAATTCTAGCAATTGTTATGAAATTGTTCAAATCAATGTGTACAAAGAGGGTTCGTTGTGAAAAAGGCAGGACCATTCAGAGGTGAAGCTCAACAGGAGCTGCCAAAATAAACACCTTGTATATCATGACTCCACCAGAATAACTTGAGTAGTGTTCCTGATTTCTGCAGAGTGAGAATTTTCTTCTTTAAAACCTGTTTTAGGTTTTAAACCTGTTTCCTGTTTTAGCTGGAAAACGCTACTTGTTTCCTCACATTCCATGCCATCTCTCTCACGCAAAATCAGGAGTAAGAGGAACCACATTTCTAAAGCTTTACACACCAACACTGAGCAGTGGGCCAGCCTGAGGGAGGCACTGACATCAGGATGGTGTGTACACACCCTCTTGTGGCAGATCTTTCTGATACCCAGCAAAACTGGAAAGCACAGACTTCACAACCTAGGAAAGGACTCTCAAGCAATAAAATGGGCAAAGAGCTTGAAAGAAAATTTTCAAACCTCATAAAATTATTAATTTTTAATTTGATAGGATTTTTTTTTTATTTTATTTTGTTTTAAGAAACGAGGAACCCAAATAAACCCTGTTTTCCATACTTCTTTCTGAGGAGAGAGGCTGTGAATACAACAGATCCCAAACCAAACACCCTGCGGTTTAGGAAACAATCCTGATTCTGTTCTTCTTTGAAACTGACTGAATTCATCCATCCACAATGCAGTCAAAATACTAAACACTATAAAAASGCATCAAAGGAAAAGAAAGGAAATTAAACGAACAGAAAATCAACCCATACCCACATTCTTTCACCCTGCCAAAACAGACATGGTCACTATACAAAGCTGAATGCTGTAAAGCACACTGCAAACCTGCAGATGTTAACATGAAGACTGGCTTGTTTAGATTTTTTTTCGATCACTTAAATGCTTATTTCCTGCCCCTTAATCCTGGACTCAAACCTTCRCCTCTCCCTCAAGTTAACACAGTTCACACACAGGCACCCATAAACCCAYGCTGTCTCAACACACTAAGATAGTGATTCACAGGTGCTCACAAGTACTTCAAGCAGTGTCCAGCTTTCCTCAAAACAGCACTAAAAATATACAAAGAGGCAAGTCCAGCCTSCCACTTTAAAGAGACAAAGAACACTTGTTGAGCTAAGAAATGCTGCTGCTACTAACATGGTGCAGTACAAGGCTTTTCTTGTGTCAGTCGCCAAGTGAACTAAATTTGGAAGCCCCCGCTGCAGTGAATTTCCGGGAAAATCGAGCACATCACCAGCTGACATGCGGGGGGAGCTGCGGAGGTGTCTCTGGAGCTCTTAACCCACCTTTTTCTTGTCCATTGCTGCTCAGCCCATTGACAACAGTTTTTGCAACATCAACTTCTTCATGTTCTGAAAGACAAATGAAGTAGTCGTTTTCAAGAAAGATTTTTTCAAGTCTGCAAGGTCTCCAGCTGACATGAATAAAATTGGCTCTTGTGAATGCAGGGAAACACAGGAGACACTGCTAGAAAGGAGCTCCAAAGGTCATTGAAAGTCCTATTTCTGAACCATGAAAGAAACAACTTTACCTCTGTCACTGCTGACAAATGTTTGCCTGGTGAGCTCTTACAAACTTCCAGCACCACCCTAACACAACCTGTTCCAGTRCTTCCCAGCCTGTAAGTTTATTGGTGCTTACACTGAATTCCCAGGTCATGTTTCTCTGGACTCTCTTAAAATAGTTCACATTTTTCTCAAAATGTGGTGCCAAAACCAGGACATGATACTCCAGTTGAAACTTGCTAAGATGCTAAAATCAAGTGGGAATATTATTCTACAGGTCTTACATATGGCACTTCAAGTCTGACATCTGCTGTATTTTTCACCCTGATTTAGCCTGCTACCCAGACAAGCCCAGAAGTTTTCTTCTTCCCAATCAACTCACCTTTCCTGGTCCCTTGTTTTCCTTTAAACAGCTGATTTTTTCTATCCAGATGTCTAACATGCATTCATCTCTACCAGAACGTATCAAATTCAGACCATTTTTTCAGGTTATCAGTAATTGTGAATTCTTATATTCCAAACTGAAATAAGCTAAAGTGCCCAGTCCACGATGTTTCCAGCTATTTTTTATGCTTCAGAGGCCATATTCAAGCAACAGATGTGAATAATTGCATCAGAAATGGACAGGGATATTACTGGTAATAAAAAGGAAGGCCAACGAGTGCAAGTAGAAAAAAAACAGACTCACCAGAGCTCATTGTGGCAGAGGGACTTTCCTTTTTCACTTCTGGATTTTGTTTATGTCTGTTTAAAATGAAAGGCAGAATGATTACATTATGTCTCATGTCTGCCCAGACAGCACTGGACACAGTGCTGATCATCCACAACAGTCAAGGTAACAGTCACAGTTGCTTTAAAAAAATTCCTTCCAAATGCCAAATGGATTCATGTCAGGCACCAGACACATTTTTTGCTGATAATTAGCAGAAATTAAATATTATTTTCACCCAATATAAGCACTACTTCCAGACTTTAAAACTAATCTTCAATACAAAATTGAAAGATACTCATTTAAGTCTAAGAGTATATAAAGGGCAAAGTGCAAGTCTGGCTAGTTTCTAATATATAAAATGTATATCACCTTTTAAGAGAATTAAAAAAAATCAAAGCGACAGTAAAAGCTTTAAAATAAAACCCTCACATTAAGGCTTTTCCATATTTCAAGCAATCTGTTGCTCATATCAAAGCTGGTCTCTCCTTTGAAAGATATAATAATACAGAAGAGATGCACTTGTCAAAACGCAAATTAACTTTTGCACCAATCATTTCCAGTCGTGCAATGCTGCTGATATTTTCAGGATCAGACTCCAGCAAGTGAAACATAAAACTGGAAGCTTTAATTCTCCCGGGCCCAAAGGCAATGAAATTGCCAACCCAAGAGAAAAAATACCAGATGGGGACCAGAAGAAAAAGTCAGTTTTCATGGTGATGACASCTCGCAGAGGAAAACAAATAGGTGACACCTATTTGTACTCACTCCTAGAGGGACTTGATATCTGCAGCAAACAGGTTTCAATGTCACAGATGTTGGTTTGAATAGCCAAAGAGCATTTCTGCAAAAAGTCTGTGTTTGACAAGATCTCTCAGCTCCCTTAAGGCGTTAGGCTGAATTAAAAGCCCTTTAATTCTGTGCTCCAATCTTCATCTCTGCCCACACAAATAAGTTAGCCTCAAAGAAAGTGAGATCAAGTGTAGYTCCAGACAATTAATGACTTTCACGACACAAATGGAAATATGCATCTGAAATCATGAACTCATGCATAAACAAGAAGCGCAGWCTGAGAAGTATAGGGAAAATTACTTGGGGAAACAAGAAACTAAACAACAGAGTTGGAGATCCTTCCTTTCCCTTTACATGAACTGGAGACGGCAGTGGAACATTGTAAGMGGTGGAAATTCCCTTCAGAGAATTGAATTTGTTCTCCTGCCTCAAGCGTCTCCCTTCTTAACCAGCATTTGTTTCATACCAACCAGAATATAATGAGCATGTTCAACAGACACTCAAAAGGAAAGAAAACTCAACCAGTAAATATAGTAACAAATGAGTCTATAAAACCAGCCAATATCTGGGCTCCCCAGCAAGCCACCCTGGGAACAGCTGCCAACACTTAATGATTTAAATATTTTCTTCACTAAAATACCCACATAAGATCTACATTGTGGGTTCATGAAGGCTCAGCAGGATTCAGCCTAAGTCCAAGCTGATCCCAGTGAACCACAATGTAAAGGGGGGGGGGGGTGCAGTATAAAACCAGTCAACAGCAAAAACTAAGGCCATCTTTAAGGTTTGCTATGCAATTTTGCCTGCCCACACAGTATCTGCTTTTTGTTTCTACCATTTCATATTAGAAGTGAGTACCCTGAAATACTAATGGTTGACACAGCTTGAAAATTTAGACAAAAAATACTTAATAATAATGGTCTTTCTGATCTTCATACATTTCCCTTCCAGAAAGATGCCTTAGCTCAGGCAAATTAGAAAGAAACAGTCTAAAATTATATGTTATCCAGCTTAAGGAGATTTGTTGCAGTATCACACTCTTCTGCACATAGAAAAACATTACTTGCTAAATTCACTGGGATAAATACCAGTCCTTCCACGGGGCTGGGAGAGAACCACAAGAAGGGGCAACACTGCAGTAAATCCCAACTCAGCTTTAGGATCAATCTCTCTCTGATGCTGAGGCGGTTGCTGGTACCCAGATGTTTTAACTCAGCACTGGCTCTCTCCATGGGCTTCATGCAGGTCACCACAAAATTTCTTTCACTCCAAGCATCCCCAAACGGTTGCACTGCTTTTCTCTGATATCAAAGATAAAAAGGGTGGGAAAAAATACTTCAATGTATTACCTTTTCAGGAGAGGAAAGAGGATTTACCACCTATAATGTCTGGGCAAAGGAGGGTCCACTACTGACTGCTCCCATGCCACAGCGACACATTCCCTTCCACAATGGCAGCAGGTGAGCCATTAAACTCGTGCCCATATGCTTCACCCTTTTTAAACAGTCTCACTTGTTTGGAAACAGTGGCATCACAACTGCCATAAAACTCTGATTGCAGTGATGTCTTTTTGATTCAAATCTTGACATTGCTTAAAGTGTGAAGCACTGGCTTTCACTGTATTAAGAAAAGCATTTAGGAAAGAGTTCACATCAAAAAGAAGCAAAATTATTTAGCACTAACAGAACAAATTACTTTTTACAAAAAARTGATTTGAGGATAAATTAAAGTGATAATTAAAGAAGATTGCTAAAATTAAATGGAAGATGTGTACCAACTAGATCTATATTGGATCTAGAAAAATTACTTTTCCACATATCCCCACACTTACAAGCAATTATGGAATTCAATTAAAGTAACAAGCATTCAGTGTTCACTTACTGTGAAACTGATCAGCTTCTTTCAAGCACCCAGAGAATGGATTCAGCATGCTCAGGGAGAGAGTAACCAATTCTGAGCCCCTGCGCTGGTCTAAGTTTAGAAACCCCATTTAAAAGTTGATTTTGATCAGTTGAGAATCTGCATATGGATCTGCTACATGCAGGTAGAAATAACACCTGCTTAGATCAACAGAAGTATGGTGTATATTTTGAGTTGAGAACATGTTTTGGCACCTTTTTGCATTAGGGCTACAGAATCATTCTACTTGTCCTTCATATACTTGGCCCAGACCATACACTCAAGTCCCATTAGGCCAATCTCAGTCCTAAGGCTGCTCTTGGGATCAGACAGACGGTGCAGCAGGTAACACAYGTGGCTCCAGGGTGCTGGTGCAGCAAAGTATTGCCCTGTAACCCGGGAAGGTGCATGCTGTAAGCCAGAGTGCTATGAACATTTGGATGGTGCTTCCTCAGACAGACCAGTCCCTGCCAGGTTGGGCAGACAGGCTGCYCATGGAAATAGGTGGGTCTGGAATAATTTGCTGCTCCCAGTTCCCCTCCAGAACTTCCTACAGACATGGCAAAGCCATTCCTGTAGACGCACATGCAGCACGCACAGGAGTACTTCAGAAGGGAGCCTTTCAAAGGAAACCAAGAATGAGGCTCCTCAGGTCAGAGAACTCCCTACTGCCAGATCAGATAAAGACAAAAAGGAAAAATACTAGAAAAAGTACTCCAAAGGAAAGCACCCAAGCGTCTCCTCCCAGCTCCCTGCTCCACACAGCTAACTAATGTGTCCTTGCCAGACTGGAATTAGTGCCTTTCCTGAAATGGGACAGACATAGCAACAAAGGCTTCAAAGCTGCGCACAAGCAAAACACAATGAAAGGTAATGAATTCCTCAGGGCATAAGCCAGCAGCTGTAACCCTGAACATGCCAATGTCCATRTGTAACATCCACCAACTCCTTGTCAGTTCAGTCCTACCTCTAGACGGATGTTTAATTTTTCCTTCCTCCCTTTCACCCCAGCACATTTGTCCAAGGCTGCAGTTCCTTCCCTACTTGGTGTGGAAAAGAGAGCAGTGCGTTCAGAAGCCTATTTAGGAGGAATGCAGATAAGTGGCCACTACTTTTGTACAGCCTGTCTGGATTATCTCACATGCGCTAAAGGTYTGAATACTCCCCCTACAAAGGCAGKGTGCAACAAACAGCTCATTAATAGTTCTGAGCAAGGACACATGCTCTTAAGTCACTGGTATCTCAGCTAAGAGTTGCAGGCAGTGGTTATTTTTGGTGGTCTAACGTGAGTGTGGGGAAAAGTAACTTCCTTTCCTTTCTTCCCTTGTTATTACTGACAGCTCCAATGACTCATATAGGCTTTTAAAACAATTGCTAGATACAAGATGTACATTCAAAACTTACTGTGCTGGCCCCTTATATTCCTGAGATTTAGACCCCTGCTTCATTTTCTTTGTTCTGAGTTTTTCACACTTTGAAAGTTTTCTCTCTATATACAAGAGCTTTAAGTGCTTTGTGGCGACATTTGAATGAAAAATAAAATTCTTGTTTATATTAGTATCAAGGAAGAGTTGAGGCTTTCAGAAAAATGGTAAGCTTTCAGACTGAAAGGGGATTAGCAATCACAAAACTTACTTTTCACCTGGTCAGGTCTTACACATCACTGACAGCACTCATTTGTTTCACCCTGGCTCAGACTCTTTCTCACAATGCCATCMGTGTCCCTGACCCAAATGATGAGCCATGTCAGCAATGTGGAGCCCCAAACCTGGAAAGTGGGCAAAGAGCTGTGCTGCAGTTAGTGCCTCCCACCTTCAAGCAGGTTCCTCTGCTTGAAGAAACTTGCTGGAAAACACTTCTCCTGTGAACTTCTCACCTTGAATCACATAAAACTTGACAAGAGAAAAACCAACTAGAATAGAGCAGGCAGCTCCAGGTTAACTCAGGCAATCAGCTCTCTCTTCATCTGTCATTATTCTTTTATTCTGAAATATTGAAATATATTGTCTGTGMTTTTTATTTTAAGGGTTAAAGAACATCCTGTAGTTCCTTCAGAAGACATTATGCTCCTAAGAATAAATGTCATGAAAAGACTGTGAGTAAGCAAGCAGTGCACACAGAAGAATCACACCATTCTGTACAACAGCCTCCACACGCCCTTCAGCAAGTGTTAAGACAGCAGAGAGAAAGCACTGAAAGCTCAGTAAATGAAGCAAATGGCATCATTACACACCAGCCTGGATAAGGTGTGYTCTTATAAATAATTGAATAATTACAGCTGTTACAATAAACAAACACAGCACATTTCATATGCAATGCTGCTTTTTTTTTTTCTTTAAATGTG